ACTGATCAAGCTGTGGCCTGTCCTTGGGAGTTACAAACCTGCCTGGACTTGCCCTGATGTGACTAAAGCTCTGAGTGATGTCATGTGGCATAGATGTGTGTAATGAATATGTGAAGGCTGCTACTATTTTTCATCTCTTTGCCTCTTCTTTAGCAACATCAGTATGCAGAGCAATGCAGATGTGAAGACTATTTGGGGAAGCACTAACCAAAAATAACAGAGACATGGGCATTGCAGTTCAATTGTGTTTTTGACCCAGAGCTTCTGTGTGGAAAGATGTACTGTATATGTTTTCAAATAAAGGTGGCTTGCCAAAGAGTGAAATGGGTCTTCAGTTTATAGACTAGTCAGAAGTCGTGCTTGCTAGTAATCTGCTCTTCATTAATGGAATTCATAACTGAAAAATGGCATCAATGCAGGATGGCCTTATTGGATGGATACAGAATATAAGCCTTAGCTGCTTGCCTTGTGATGAGTTTTGTGAATGGAGGGGAGGTAATGAGAAGATACCAAACTGTAGCTCTTTATTGGTTAAAGATATCAAATACACTGAAGTAATTAATGCAAACTCTATTATACCAAAAGAATTGTAACATATACAGAAATTGGATGATCCATGCTGCATAACCACAGACTTGGACTTTGGCATTGTTAATGTTAAAAAGATATGGATGGAGAAGTACTATTCTGCTAATAGTTAGAGTTATAGTCTATTTTTGACTTGGGGTTTTCCTTTACAATTACCTGGTTCTTAAAACAGGAACTTTATTGTGTTGTGTTATATTTCATGCTATTACAATGTTATCACAAATGTAGAATGGAAATGTAAAAGTATATCTTTCATACATCTTTTCTATTTTTTAAATCTGGGAAGTCAGAGGTTATTATTCCAGACTAATTTAATCCAGTCCAAAGAGGAAGATAAAAAAGGCAAAATGGTAGACACAGGATCACAATGCAGTCCTTTGTATGCTTGTATTGTGACCCTATTTCTGTTGTCTCACCCTATTTGATTACACACACACACACACACACACACACACACACACACTTTGCTGCTGTTCTAATCTCTATTTTAACAGTACTTCAGAATATGAGCTGGTGAAATATTTGAGTCCTGTATGAAGTACCTTTTGGAGAGAATAAATACAAAAAAATCAGCAGAAATTCTGAAACAAAACATTAGGCCTATCTGAATGGTGAGGATATATAAACATTAAACAGTAGATATCTGACAATGGTGCAAAATGCTGTATCTTAAATGTAGGACTTTCTTTTGCATAGCACCTGCCTTTGTTGGTGCCCAGTGGTACTGTTCCAGTAAGAAAAAGGTTACATGAGACAACAATGTTAACATTTGGGTTGTGCAAATTCTTTAATTCTCCCTGGACTAGAAGCATTTCATTACTTATAACTATTGGGCAACCCTTTTCTGTGTTCAGAACTGTTTAAACATTAGGAGAACAATAGTGGCATGTATAGGGCAAAGAGCATCTACTTGGGAGCTGGTAATAGTTCCTCCAAAGAAACTTTAATTCTTCAAATATTCCCTGACATGCTTCTTTCTCAGGGTGAACTCTTGGTAAAATATGTCCCTGAAAATCTCATAAGTACAATTCTATATAGTTCAGTTCTTTTAGAGATATGGTTTGTATCCAGATTATGAAAGTGTCCCACTGATCCAAACTTGCTTTTCAACTAAGATTTCTAATAACATTTTATTATGGGCTCTGTCACATTTAGCTGGTGTCACTAGATACAATGATGCCTAATATCTCTCTTTTGAGACATATTGCAGTTCTTTAATAAATTAGATTAAATTGTGCTATTTTTGTTAAATTCCAGTAATCTGAATCAGAATGATCAATGTTACCCTGATAGGCTTTTCAAGGAAATTTAGTTACTGTATTTTTTTTTTTATTGTTACTGGCCTGGAGGTAAAAAGTGACCTCTCCTTTTTAAAAATGTTCCTTATCTTTCTCCCAGTAGGAAACATGCCTCTTTCTGAGAGTAAAATCCTTCAACCTTCCTGCAGTAGGAAACTATGCAAAAATCTCTTTGGACCAGTTGATCATGAACAGGTCCAGAAGGACTTTCAGTCCTTGATGAAGGTCCAGCTGGAGGAAGCCCAGCAAAAGTGGAACTTTGACTTTGAAACAGAAACCCCTCTGGAAGGGAATTACAAATGGGAAAAGGTCTCTCATCTAAATATGCTGCCATCTCCAGATCTCTTGGGCCATACAAAGGAGAACAGCTGTACAGGGGAAAAGAGCCGGAGTTCACCAGCACTCTTCAAGAGGCATGCAAAGACAGAGAGACAAGTGCAGATGGGCCTTGAAGCTTGTAAGGCTGACTCCCCCAGATGTTTGAAAAGAAAGCAGACAAGTATCAAAGGTAAGAATGGGGCAGCTCTATTTGTTCTTTGTATTAAGTCACATAGGAGTTGTTAATATCCAGAACTGGAACTGAAATGATTTTTTTTATAAAACCCAAATCCCATTTTTTTAATAAAAAAAATCACAATTTGAGTTCAAAAGCTTAATGTTTAAAATTGGGCATTTGTGTCTTGACTTAACTTATAGAAGATACTTAATTGTCACAGATTATGTTAAGGATGGTGTGATATGTCAGTGTGTGTGTGTGCATGTGTATAATCTTTAACAAATTTAGTGTTCATTCATCATTGGAAACTGTGCAAGTAAATTCATTTTTAATTTGGAGACATAGCAAATATGTGTGTAAAGACACCCCGTTGAAGCATTTTATCTATTTGGGTTAAAAATATGTAAGATTATAGATGGAGTATTTATTCTACCTAGTCATATTCATCAGGTTGCATGTCTTCTGTGACAACAGGAAAGGAAAAGGAAACAAAAGCTGGCATTTGGTGATAAAATCATTATTTCTGATGTATTTCCTGAGCGAATACCCTAATACATCAACAAACACTGCAGTGTTAAGGTTTATCAAAACTATGACAGTTCTGGAGATGCAAGGCCTTGTTTGTACTAAAATCTGTGGTCATTTGTTCTTATCCTTTAGTAAAAAAGTTAATTTGTTTTTCTGATCTTTTCTAGACTTTTATGGTTCAAAGCGAAGAACTATCCCTTATAAGTCAAAGCCATGATAACAACACTGCAAGCAAAGTGCATCCATGTAGTCTGTTGGCTGAAGATCTTGACCTGTCTTTATTATTATTTGCTGGAATGACCTACTTGGGTACCACACCCAGTGAACTCATGCAGGATGGCTATTTTGAAGGACCAGCTAATCAGCATTACAATTCCTTCTCTGAAGATCCAGAGATCTGTTATTTTATGTAAACTGTTTTAGTGGACTAGTATAACACTTCAGAAGGATATAGTTTGGTAGCACTGGAGCCTTATGTGCAATGAAATATTGTAAAATCTTATCTTTAAATATACCGTAGGTAAGTTGCAGCACGAGGGATCATATCTAAAGGGCCAAGTGGGTAGGGGCCAGTTTGATGGACACAAGAAAGGACCAACGTAAGTTTTATGTGTCATCTACTTGCCATCTTTTATGGGCCTCAGGAAAAGCTTGATATGATCTCACTATATGCGGGTGCCGATCTAGGAATCAATAGAAATATAGGATAATATCTTAGATTTGTGATCTTCCTACATCTTTTTACTCCATTATATTTAAAGAAATATTGTGAGGGAAAAGAAAAGATTGGTTTTTTTTTTTCAGGCTGGTAAGAGATTTTCTTAAAGATGAAGAATCTATGGTTATGGTGGGTACAAATGTACATCAAACCATAGCACTTACTGCTGTGAAGAGAGTAGGGTTGGAAATATTGTAAACATTGTAGCCTTTATCAGTTATTTTTCTGGGTAATTTATATGTCCTTTTGTTATATAACTGTACAGAAATATATGATATAACTGCCTCTCAATAATACAAAAGACAGAAAATGCAACACATAATATTAGTGAGAGGGACAGGTATAATCATAAAATTGAGCATACTTCACTGCTGTCTTACTTGCTCCTTCCATAAGTATGTTCTTTGCCAGCATAATTAGTTATTAAATCTGCAGATTGTTCAGTTTGTAATTATGTAGCACTGTAGTGATTAGTGAGGGGAAATAGTATGTGTTAGCAAGGGTGGATGTAATATAATATTTGACTTTCCGTTGCCTTATTTCACTGTTACAGCAAATTTGTGATAGAAGCTGATATAAGGACTTGGCCCAGACTTGCTTTCTGTAATTCCTATAGACTTTATGTAAGAGGCATTGCCAAACTGGCAATTGTATCACTTAAATTAGTATGAGATAATCTAATTTACAGATTACTTCTTGTTTGGAATTTGGGGCTATTATAAAAACTTGCTGTTGCACTTTCATATCAAATATTCAAATCTTAATCCTGGGTACGGTGTACTATTATAATCAAAAGTGCAGACCTTATTATAATCTTTATTGCCATCTTGTTATAATAGGTTAGGGATAACAATCCCTTTTCAAAATTTTGTTACAATAGTGTAACATTTTTTTTTTTTTTTTTTTTTTTTTTTAGGAAATTGCTCCTTTTATAGGTCATCTGTAGTTTTAACCATGACAGAAAAGCTTCTTGATTGAGTTTGGAGATTCATGTTGGTTCATGCCATCTGCACAAGGGCCAATCTATCAGAAAAAGGCACTTTTTATATAATAGATTTCCTTAGGATCTTCTGAAGTTTTTAGTTAGAATTTCTGTAGATACATTTGGCCACTTTGACAGTTGCACTTTTACATTCAGGATTATGCTGGGATTCTTGAGCATTAATCCAGTTGTGAATATAATGCTGCTCAACTGACTAAGTCTGAGAGTAAAATAAAGCCACTTCATAATGGAACAACACTTTGCTTGGTGTGAATTTCTTGCGTGCTTCATCAGAATTGAGCATACAAATGCTTTGTCTAGTGATGACATTTGATGGGCCTTTAAAAATAGTAATAGTTTTACAGGGTAAAGGACTTTACAAAAGAAGATTATTATAGGGTAAAAATTCAGTGGAACAATCCACTGAATTACAGACCAGCCAATCTTCTTTTAACCTGACATTTCAGTGAATAAATCATGATTCAGTTAATCATGGATAAGTGCGGTATAGAAACAGCCATTATATCAAGCATAGCCTCTTCCATTGTTGTATTTTAATAGATTAGTATGGTTTGCTTAATTGTGGTTTATTGAATAAATCACCATTATCTGAGCTTACATAAAGACATTGAACCATTAATTACAGTGGCTGAGATACATACATTAACCCAAAGCAATGTTATAATTAGCACATTGTGTGAACCTAGGAAAAAGTGATATTGGGAAAAGTATAAGAAATCGGACTACAGTTGATTGCTTCCTATACAAGTAGTCGAGAGAGAGAGAGAGAGAGAGAGAGAGAGAGAGAGAGAGAGAGAGAGAGAGAGAGAGAGGTTTGTATGAGATTTCCGTATCTTTCATGGCATTATCTAGAAACACTTAGCAAATCCTGCTTTGAAAAAAGTTAATGCACAATGTGTTCTTGATAAGACAGTCTAAGGATTACAGAATAAAATACAAAAGTCCACAGTTACAATATTTGAAGATCTTTTCTCACATAAACTATGAATTAGGTTAAAAAACCAGGACCTTGGGTCTGTAATTGTGTTGATTCTTTAGAATGATCAACTCATAATACAGCTGAATTTTGAATTTTCTAGGATGTTATTAGGGTGCAATTCCATTTTATAGCTTCTATTCAGGCCAACTTTTTGATTGTGACATCTTGTGCCTAAACCTTAACTTCGCATGAGATAAGCAATGCACACATTGGTTCAAAGGCATCATTGCTTGTTAAAATTTCCCTTTTAATAACAGCTAATCAATGTGCATTTACAATTGACAATATGACAGAAAAGAAAGCAGGTTATTACACAGTTATTATTAGGAAAAACAGCAATTAACCTGAATGAAAAAAAAAAAAGTTCTTGGCTGCCATCTCAGATTAGCTTTGATTCAGACAAACTCCTCCAGCATAGAAATTCATGAGTGCACCTTTGCATAAATACTTTATGTTCCATATTGTATATTTTTCTATATTATACAATATTGAAATATTAATATATTTCTACCTCCATCACAGTTACATAAACCAAGACTGACATGAATTTGTGATAAGTTGTCACTACCCTTTATTGCTCGGAAATATGTCCTGTGTAGAGTTGATTTGAAAAAGAATTTCATTTTGAGCTTCTGTCTTACATTTAGCACAACAAATTCTAACTGTGTAACAAATTTCTAATCTTGCATTAAATTTGGAAGCAGACCTAATTCTCCAAAAGATCTGTTGAGAAATACAATATATGCCAGTAGTATGAATGGTCCCTAAGAATCTTAGGAATGTCCTCAGGGAATGCTAAAAGTTATCAAATGCAATATTTAATGTAATGTAAGATTACATACGTACATAAAATAATGAGAAATAATTCCAATGTTATTTAATTTGAATTAAATGCAAAAGAAACAAAATCAGTTTTAGGTGTTCTCCTGGGTTCAGTCCCACTGCTTTACGAAATGTAGTCTCCAGCATGCTCTTAAAGCTGTGTTTTTCAACATTAATAACTTTAAGACGTGGATTTCAACTCCCAGAATTCCCCAGCATAAGAAACACTGCCTTGAAGCCAATGGTGCCTATATCTAAAAAAATAAAAAGGGGACAGTCCTTTTCTAACTAAACCAGAGGTGGGTTGAGCAAGAATGAAAATGACAAACTGATGGTTCAGAGCAGCTGATGAAATGAACCAGCAGATAAAACCTCCCGCCACTCTGCAATTGCACTAACTTCCGCTGGAAGGAAAAAAAAAAAAGGGAACCATCTCTTTAAAGTGGATGAATCTTGCACCGTAGGGTACCCTAAATGCTCTGTCTTTTTATTGACTGGTAAGTTTTCTTAAGAATTTAGCCAGAGTTAAACTTCAAGTTATGCTGCATCTCTGACTTGGCTAAGAAAAATTTGACTTGGCTTTAAAAAAAATTTGAAGTTAGATTTTATTTTAATGGTGGAAACTGGGTCTGAGTTCATACATAACATTAAGCCATAATATGCCTTGTCTGGTTTTGGTTTAGCATGTGACATAAAGTCAGTTACAGTATATTTGATTTCCTGGTTTATGACTGTACTATGAGTAAACCCAACTAAGTGCTTGACTTATTTTAGAATCTGTAGTTAAACAAACTATGGCTTAACATCTGTGAATCCAGTCTCTGAAAGTGAGTTGCTTCCAAAAACAAGCCAAGTGCAGCATATCAAATTGCACTGTCTTTTCCTTATTGTGCCTCCTTTCACATACTGAATCTCATCAGTATGGATAAAAGCATACAATGCCTATGAGAGACAACGTATCTAGCTCCTAAGATTTTCCTAAAGAGGCACCAGGACGAGATTTTGGATTACAGTTAATCCAAAATCCCCAGCAGCCAGTGTAGGAAGAGGTGTATTTGCTTTGGGCATCTAATACACTCATCTAGAATATATTTGTAAATGTGGACTCTATACTGGGCAGACAGTTGCTCATTAGGCTGCAACTGATAATAGCATTTTTAAGAGAGAGAGATGAAGGTGGGCTACAGAAACTGAAATGAGCTGGCAGTATGTTGCATGGATTGGGGCCCAACATGGATTCTTGAGAATTTCTCTGTTTTCAAAAGCTATGTTAATTATGTTTCATAGTTTACAGTGTTTATGATTTTTCCCTAAAAACGGTAGGAGAGAGTATTTTTCCTCTTGCAGTTCTCCTTGATCCTTCAATTAGAAAAGATGGGTACTCAACACAGGACTTTCTGGAAATTAAACATATGTTATGGCCTCCTCCGCACCTGGTGGCTGGACATTTTAAATACTGTATATTTTATCATAAGCCACAAAAATATATGTGGGTAGGAAATAATATCCACAGGCTATAGATATTGTTGATCTATTGTCTGAGCTTGGAATTTAGTAACAGCCAAATTAGAACCCAGAAGTTAGAAATCAGAGATCAGAAATTATGAAAGTAGTTGGTTAAGAAAATAGATCACCCATATGAAAGATGTTTTCTTCCTTCCAGGTGCAGGAAATCTACTGACAGCTTTAGGTAGCCAATCACTTCAGAATCCAGGAATGTTTACTAGGTCAGGAAATTTCTGCAACTTTCTAGACTGGATGCTGATGTATGTGAATCTATGTTCCTTGTTCTAATTCCTATAGTCTTTGAGTGAGTTTCATTTTAAAATATGTCTCAGTTAGCAAGCAGATGCACTGATACTCTACACCTACTTTGATCGGTTACCCATGCTTGGATTTATACAATACCCTAGACCAGTATTTTTATGACTCAACAACTTCAAGTTATGTGGATTTCAACTCCCAGAATTCCATAGCAAGCATGGTAGCTGCTAAATTTTGGAATTTGAAGTGCACATTTCTTGACATTGCTGGGGTTGAGAAATGCTTCCCTAAATTACCCTGGGATCCTTCAGTTTTAAGTTCTGAATTATCTCAATTCAGCCAGCTGATAAAATTAATTTGCAGTTCAGTGTGTTATATAAACTATGATTCAATTAACTAAAGTTTAGTTGTACAAAAGTTTGTGAGTGAAATGTTAACCAATTAAATATTAATACTGTGCCATGTCTGTCTCATATGTCAAAATAATAAGGGTACTAAGGATGTAAACGTTAAAGATAAATACCCTCCCCATCCAATGAAGCTGTCAATCATGTACAAGTAGAGAATGCCTGGGAATGGCAGAACATTCTGGGAACAAGAAGAGGCCCCAGTGAAAACCCACAAAAATATTCTATCTCAGAAGAAGAATTATTTAATTCTAAAGTCATGGGATTGATGAAAGCACAGAAGTTTTATATTCCACAATCTGATATGCAGGTAAAGTGAAGCATTAGTTAGTTAGTTAGTTACTCTGTTTTGGTGGGACTAAGGTGCGAGAGTTCAATAGTGAATGAGCAAACCTTAATAAAAATTCAAAAGGCAATTCTTTTGTGGCACCTGCCCATTTTTTTCCATTTTATCTTATTATAGGTGGCTTTAGAGGGGATGGAGATGAAGGAGTTGAAATCTACATATCTCAGCCTTGCTAAGGTTGAGAAAAACTGCACTAAGGAGTTTTCATATAGTTGCTCCATGAATATGAGGCATGATTTCATATTTGTTTATTTGCAGGGCATTTGCTGACCTCACAGATCTTGATAATACAGGAAGAGGAAGACAGCTTTGATGAAGGCAACTTCAACCTTGTTCCTGGAGGAAATTAATAGTGAGGAGAAAAAACATTTTGAGTCTTTCATTAACCAGCTGGGAACTGATAATGTCTTTGAAGAGTAAGAACAATATGATAACTTTACATCTGTTTCACACTGACTCTCACAGATAAATGGAAGCAGAATGGGAACTGGTGAAAGAGAAATGGATTTGATACAAATCAACAAGTTAAATTAATATAAGGGCCTTAAAGGTGGAAGGTGATGTTAGCAATCATGTAAGCTTTATAGGAAAGGTGGCTGAGGAATATCTTATCTCCATCCATTTTTCAGGACCTCTATAAATTCCTTGATTTATAGTAGCAAATCTAGTAGCAAAGCCTTGGGTTTGGGCCAAGCAATTTTGGGCTAAAGAAGCTGCAAAATTAATTTTCCCTAGGCATCTGAAAAATAAGGTGCTTAGGGAAAGTGAAAATGACCCACTATAGAAAGGATAGACAAATATAAGAGTTTTGGCACTTGTTTGTTTGTTTGTTTACTAGAACTCCCAAGTTCCATCAATCAGGTGCAAAATCTGTTTCTTATTTTCCAGCAAAATTTATTTTAGCTGCTTGGTTTTGCATAGGTAGAAATATTTTCCTTGTTTATGTAACTCCTGCCCTCTATCCTTAGATATCCCATTTATCTTCATAGGTACTCCTATGTGTTTTTACAGCATATTTTTCATGCTGTTATCTCCAGCTGTGTGGAACACCAAGTACCAGCAGCAAGCATAACACTTGTCAATTGATGTGATCGAAACCAAGTTAGCATATATATTATTATATCCCATTTACCCAAGATCTTTTGTGATTTACCTGTAAATGAGTCACTTCCAAGACAATTTATATAATGGACGGATATTTCAACAGAAACGTTTCAGCCTTAACACACATTTCCATGCTGATTTATTCATGTTCAACTAGAACAGGGATAAGCTAAAATAATAAAAGTAATTGAACCAGAATACTGACCAGGAAGCAATAAACTCTCCTCTTGTACAGCAAGTCAGAAATATGGAAGATCTGGGTGCAGCTCTGGGAGGCAGAACCACATCTGTTGGGAAATCTGAAGGAGTTCTTGGCTAAAATGACACACTTCATCAAGGAAGCTGAGCATGAAAAAGAGAAGATACGGTTACTGCTGAAAATGTAGGTCACTGTATAGCAATGGAAATATGGGATGTGTTTTCATAAACAGATTTTTAAAAGGGGGAAAGGAACACAATTCCAGGAAAAGTAACTATGGAACTGTAAGGGGGAAAAAAAACCAAAACTCAGTACCTGAATTACATAACATACTAAGCTGTGGTAGCTGATTTGTTGATGACTAGTGTGATATGCAAAATATAATCATTAGAGTTGTAAATCATATTGTACAGCAGAGCATGTTACAACGGCTATTGCTTTTAAAATAAACCATTGCTTTTTGTAATGTAGGAAACATGCTTACATCAGAAAAGGGCAAAGAGGCAGGCATTTTAGCTTCAAAAATATCAAGAGGCAAAGCTTCAGTTCACAAATCCTGCATATTTTGCTGAACTATGATTTGTGAGAGAAGCCATAGTTAGGAGAGTTGATGCATAATTGCTGAACCGACATATTGCTTTGAGGCATGGCATTGTTTGTTTGGATTTGGCTTAGTATGTTACGTGAGGTCAGCACATACATCTGGGATTAGAGAACTTTGAGTTCAGGGATTAGTGTTTTGTGCACCAAGTTTTCCTCATGTAAACTATAATTGGGTGAAGTGGAGAGAAGAAGTTAATAATTGGAATTAGGTCATTATTGATAGCTGCAAATGCTTGGGGTCAGATTTTTCATGAGATCTATTGTTTTTCCACATTGGCACTAGATGACTTCTAGTTTTAACAAAGTAAACAACATTAAATAGAGACTCCAGGGACGGTTTTGTTTCCTTAAGATACTTTTTTCTAAAATGGGGCTCTGCAGAATTGTTGCAACATCTGTGAGTGATAATGCCAACATAGCTGAGAATCACTATAGTAGGAAAGGCTGCTTTGGAAAATATAAGAAATAGCAGTAGAAGACCTAGTGGGTATACCAATGCTTTCTGGTCTCTCTACCTTATGGAAACTGGTGAGGTTGTGCTAGTGTATTTGTTACAGAACAGTCCTCCTGTAAAATTAATACTGGGTAGATTGAACGTAAATGAGTGTAGTAACAGTTGAAGAGTCTCTTTATGTGCATAAATACCCCTTAACATCTTTTTATTGGCACTCTGCTAGACAAATATCTGATCACAATAAGAAGGTGCAGACGCTATATGAGGAAATGGAGCAGCAAATTGAGAGGGAGAAACAAAAACTGCAGAATGAGGTAGGTGCCCAGTTGGACCATGCCAGTTCCCAAAATGTATGATTTATTTCCCCTCCCTTTCTTTTTTGAAAAATGTGTCCTTTCTCAATAACTTGGGGCAAATTTACCTGCAACATCCCAATCTTGGATGATTTTCCTGTATAATAATTGAAGGGAAGGGTGTGTTTTATCTTCCTCTTCTACAAAAGCAGAATTGAATCTGGCCATCCAGCAAGGACATTTCAGGAAGGCCTATAAGGATTTAAGGGACATGGATGAGATACCAGGCCTTCTCCATGGCAATCCTTTCCCCCATCCCTCCATTTTGGAATTCTTAAGCTCCAGCAGTGTTTATAAAGTTCCTTTCTCAAGGTATTTTGAAAATAGATTTAACATAGTTCTATTCCTTCAAGCCTTCAACCTTATTTCATTGTTAACAGTATTTATCTTGGAGCTGGTGGTTTGGTTTATAATTGTATACAATTTTATATTGTTATTATGTTATCTTTTGATTGGGGCAGGCTATAAGAATTAAATAAATGTATAATATGAGAGGTCCAGGAAAATCAGACCACCCAATATCCAAAAAAATGGAAGAGGAATAAGTGTCTTTCTCCAGAAGGGCATTCAGAACTAAGTTGCCTCTACTTCAGAAGTACTGGTTCTATGTTAGAGAATTTACGTATTGTATTATAAATGTTTAATAACTTCATATTCAACGGAAAAGTAGCAATTCTCAACATGTACGGGAGTGAGATGATGGGAACTGCCATTTGTAATGTCTCAAGACTATGGATTCCATCTCTTGTACTGTAGGAAGATACAGTACAAAAATACAAATCTTTCCCTTACCCTGAAATAGTCATTCCGCATTTCCCCTGACCTAGCTTGAAGCAGTGAAAATATGAGGACTCTGTAAAGCCAGAATTAGCTTCTTTTCTTCTAGCTAAAGCAGAAATAATCCTTGGGAGGAGCACAAATTTGTTACTTAGGTACTTGTATTCTGTTACTTATAGCAGGGCTTTTCAACCTTTTCACCCATTGTACCACTTTTAGAATATGGCAATATACAAGTACCACCAAGATGTCAAAAACTTGATGACCAAAAAAAAAAAAAAAGGAAAAAAGTGATAAAGTACAGGTAGTCCTTGACTTACAAAAGTTCACGTAATGACTGTTCGAAGTTACAATGACACTGAAAAAAGTGCCTCCCAAGGCACAGCTGAGCAAGACACCTGCCTGCCCACCCGGCAGCGCTCTTCCTCCTGTCCAAGGTTTTCATTGTTGTGAGCATTTCTGTTGAGAATTGGCAGTGGGGGTGGGGTGGGGGGTGTTTGGTTTTTATTCCCCCCTCCCCTCTGCTGGGTAGTTGCAGCAGGTTTTGATCACTTCACATGACTCTGGGACACTGTGACCATCATAAATATGAATCAGTTGCCAAGCATCTGAATGTAAATCACAAGACCTTGGAGATGCTGCAACATTCCAGCTGATCAGCGCTTCTTCTGGGCTCAGCAGAAGCACCAGGATCAGCGCCAATCTCCAGCTGGAGCCTGGCGCTGATTCTGGCGCTTCCACTGAGCCCTGACAGCCCTGCAGCTCCAGCCATCTCTTGCTCAGGCTTATGCGGTGCTGCCACTGGTTCAGCTCATTCCCCTCCCCCACTACCATTTTTCTAGGATGGTTGTGTACCACCTGCCAGCTGGCAATGTACCACAGGTGGTACCTGTACCACTGATTGAAAAGCCAGTGGTTGAAAGGTGCCTCCCTTTCCCGCTTTTTCTATGTTCTTTTAAATAAGTATTTGTGCATTAGTTTCTTTAATTTTTTCTTCCAAATTAGAAGGAAAGAGCCACATACTATACATTACATGACTATAGTCCTCGGCTTACAACAGTTTGTTTATTGACTGCTCAAAATTATAACAGCACTGAAAAAAGTGACATGACGGTTTTTCATAGTTACAACTGTTGCAGCATCCCCATGGTCATGCGATCAAAATGTAGACACTTGGCAACTAATTCATATTATGATGGTTGTGGTGCCCTGGGGTCGTGTGATCACCTTTTGTGACTATCTGATATGCAAAGTCAACGGGGAAGCTAGATTCACTTAACAACTGTGTTACTAACTCAACAACTGCAGTGGGAAAAATTCACTTAACTGTCTCACTTAACAACAGAAATTTTGGGCTCAATTGTGGTCCTAAGTCGAGGACTACCTATACTCTAAAATATGTGACAGAAATTAGTAGGACAGATAAGAAGTTGTAAGCTTTTCCTCACCCTTCTGTCTATTTTCTGGAATATATCCTGAATTTGCCATGTGGTACCTTCCAGTATTTTAGAGTTCGTTACTTAAATGAAGCCTCAGCCAGTGCAGAGACTGAAAGTTATAATGTAGGGATGAACCTGGTTGAAAAATCTGGTTGACCTACATCTCTTGCTATTCTGGCCTTCTATCACTCCTGACTTTTCAATGTTGGTTCTAGAGTAAATACAAGATGAATTTATCTTATCACTTTGCCTAAAAAAAAAATCAAAATGTCAAATGTGCATTAAGGTTGAAATTAAACATTACATTACAATACATACATTAAATATTAAAGGTAAAGGTTTTCTATGTCCAGTCATGTCTGACTCTAGATGGTGGTGCTCCTCCCCATTTCTTAGCTGAGGGAGTCAGCATTGTCTAAAGACATTTCCATGGTCATGTAGCCAGTGTGACTATACGCCGAGGCGCAAGGACTGTTGTTATCTTCCCACAGAAGTGGTACCTATTTATCTACTTGCATTTGCATGCTTTCAAACTACTAAGTGAACAGGAGCTGGGGCAAGTAATGGAAGCTCACCCTGTTGTGTGGTGCTCAGGACTTGAACCTGGGCAGCCAACTGACAACTCAGAATCTTTAATCTCTGAGCCATTGTGCTCCCATATTAAATATCACATATATACATTTTATTCATTCTAGTGTTTATTTATATTCTTCTATGTGCTTACTGACTAATGAATAGATAATCTTTGTATATTGTTATATTGCCACAATGGCACCATCCTTGCATAATAAGGAAGTACCAGTGGGGAACTCCAAATATTGTAAACATATTTTGGGATGGGTGCCCTAACAGTGGAATCCAGAGAGAGGGCCATGAGCACTGGGTACTAGAACACAAAAGAAGAGTGGATGGGTATAGAATAAATGATCATGGAAAAGTTGTGGCTGCCAGTCTGTCTAGAAACCTGAATTTCTGGCAATTTCTCCAAAGGTATAGGCAGTGCTTTTTTTGTAAAAAATAAAAGTGCCAGAACTCACACACATCATATAAGCCACCTTGCTTATCCTACAAGGTTCCATCCAAAAAAGGTGCCGGAACTCCGTTCTGGGCGTTCTATGAGAAAAAAAGCCCTGGGTACAGGACAACTTTCTCTTCAAAGCCTGACTTATACAAGACAAGCTCCATGTATAGAAATGTATTAGGGTTGTTGGTTGTTGGTTTTTTTTTTTTTTGCAACCTTATTGCTTCAATACAATTTACTGTTGCAGAGTAAAACCAGGAGCCAGCTGCATTACATGGCGATGCAGGAAGAATTGGATGTTAGAGAACAGGAAATTCAGCATTCCCTTATTGTTCAAAAAGAGGTAAAATATCAGTGTGGCATGAAGTAAGCAAGAGCATATGATTGCAACCACTTCTTCAATCTTTCAAAGCACTGTGGCATTGTTTCACTTTCAGATGAAATATACTTTATGTTGGCATCCTGATTAATGAGAGTTTATTTCTTGCAATAGAAGCAGCGCCATCTCCTGGAAGCTTGTCCTTGGTTTCAAACCATCCTTCTGAAGCTGCTGTTTTTCATCCTAATACTTTCAACTTTATGCAGAAACAGTGGTTGTTGTTTAGCGCAAGCAGAAGGAGACATCACTTGGGAAGCCTGCTATGAAATATTTATTTACTTAGGCTTCTTACCTGCTTTAACTTTTAATGATTCCAAGCAAGCAGATTACATTCCTACTTTCCAGTAACAAGATTAAAGCAATACTCTTCCTTTGAACGACCAAGAATAACAAACAAACCCAAGAACATAACATACACTACAGTAGGAGGGGCCCAATCCCATCTACCCCTGAATGCCTTCTGGAACACTCAGGGCTTAATAGCTTTAATGAAGCAGCAGGGTTGGTGACAGCCTGAGCTTGGGAGAGATGTTGTTCCAATGGAGGCAGCAACTGAGCCACCTCTCCCTGGTGGCCCTTGATGATGACACTTCATTGGAGTGAAAATCCAGAGGGAGACCTCCCTTCTAGATCCTCCTGGACAGGTTGAAATACTATAGGGAGGTGTCTCTTGAAACTATTCTGGTATTTTTGAGCTTTTGTTGCCTGCATCCAATTTGCTGCCTGCAATTACTGATGGAGCACAACCTCATAATTCTGAAATTGCACACTCAGAATTCCCCATTGGGTGGAAATTATGCAAATTGCAATCCTTTGGGAGGTCACAAGACTGAAGAGATCTGTTTATCTATGGCAGGGCTTTTCAACCTTTTCACCCACTGTACCACTTTTAGGATATGGCAATATCCAAGTACCACCAGTCGCCTAGCAAGGTATCAAAAACTTGATGACAAAAAAAAAGTGATAAAGTACAGGTAGTCCTCAACTTACAACAGTTCGCTTAGTGACTGTTCGAAGTTACAATGGCACTGAAAAAAGTGCTCCCCAAGGCACAGCCGAGCAAGACACCTGCCTGCCCACCTGGCGGCGCTCTTCCTCCTATCCGAGGTTTTCATTGTTGTGAGCATTTCTATTGAGGATTGGCAGAGGAGGTGGAGGGGCATGTTTAGTTTTTATTCCCCCTGTCTGCTGGGTGGTTGCAACAGGTTTTGGTCACTTCACATGACCCTGGGACACTGTGACCATCATAAATATGAATCAGTTGCCACACATCTGAATGTAAATCACAATACCCTGGAGATGCTGCAACATTCCAACTGATTGGCGCTTCTTCTGGGCTCAGCAGAAGTGCCAGGATCCACACCAAGCTCCAGCTGGAGCCTGGTGCTGATCCTGGCGCTTCCACTGAGCCCTGACAGCCCCGAAGAAGCACCGATCAGCTGGAAAGTGGCACTGATCCTGGCGCTTCCGCTGAGCCCTGACAGCCCTGCAGCTCCAGCCATCTCTCGCTCAGGCTTGTGGGGGTGCTGCCACCGGTTCAGCTCATTCCCCTCCCCCCGCTACCACTTTTCTAGGATGGTCGCGTACCACCTGCCAGGTGGTACCCGTGCCACTGGTTGAACACCCTGATCTATGGGACAGAGTTGTGCTTGATGGCAACATAGAAGAAAAATAAATATATGGATAGCTTAGTTCAAGTATACTCATTCTCAGATATTTGTAATATTACCTCTTCCTCTGCCCAACCCCAGCCCTTTGGTCCCTAGTGGTTCCTGGAGGAGTTTTAGACAGGTCAAAGGTGGTTTCCAATGGAAGATTACTTCCAGGCCCACTTTCTGAACAGACCAAAAAAGGTTTTCAGACATAACAAATATTTTTCAAATTAGTTTGCTTTATCATTTTTCTTGTCTTTCTTGTGTCGCAGCCAGCAACATCCAACAGTTGCATTTCCTCTCCCCCCCTCCATTTCTTTGTTTATGGGAGAAGATGAAATCTGCTTATTTTTCCCAGTTCTTAAATGCACAGGAGATTTCACTTTTTAAAAAGTGTGTGTGGGGAAGGATCAATGCTATTTCAAATGGGTGGAGCGCCATCTGTCTTTTTCCAACCAAGATTCTGGTCCGAGAGAGTTAAAACAGTTGCAGAAGAGCCTTCCTGACAAGTGAGCCTTAATGTGGTTATTAAAGGTGGATGGATGGGAGAAAGGCCAGTAGGGCATTAGAAGCCCGCTTCTTCCCTGCCCCTGCTCCACAACCACTTATGATGCTCAGACGGTGAAGAAAGTGAGAAGCCACAGAAGTCAAAAGTGTGGGATAGCAGCTGAACTCTCCCCCCCCCCATGCCTCTCATTTCCCTGCCATTTGCTTGTTATCTATTCCCAGCTCAGGCTGGCACACACGATTGTGAACAAGAACTGAGTTGGGCAGGGCAGGGAGAAAAAGGCAGCGTCGCAGTAGCTCATGGTGGGCACGAGGCTCCTGGGGGGAGCATGGAAAGGTGCCAGCTGTTTCGTTAATCTTGTCATCCTTCCCCAAGCCTTAAGGCCTAAGCAAACTAAGCCCCCTATGTGGACACGTAGCTGAAATCTATCAGGTTTCTCTTGTAAGAAGACCCCAAGGTGGCAGCATCCCTAGCCTTCCTTCTATTTTTGCCTCTGGAGCCAGCTAAAGAATTATATCCTTCCTTTATTGTTTTTTTTAGCGGACATTACTTTTTCCTTCTTTTATTTGCCCCACAACAATAACCTTGTGAAGTGGTCAGGCTGAGAGAGAATGACTGGCCCAAAGTCACCCAGTTGACTTCCATGGCTATGGCGGGATTAGGACTTTCAATCTTCTGGTCTCTAGCCTGTTGCCTTAACCACCAGACTGAACTTGTTGTACTGCTCTACTGGACTTTTCTTATTTCTCAGCTTGAAACTCAGTTGCTCAGGCTCAAAGAGAAACAACTGGTGGCCAGCACCCAAGCCCAGCAGCTGCAACAAATCAAGAGCAGCCTTGAAAATCAGCTCCAGCAAACCGTCCATCAGCTTCAAAAGATTGAAACATGCCTGGATGTCATGAAGGATAGAATATCCCAATTGTACAGTGAAGGCAGGTGAGTCCTAATAATTGTATGAGTGGTTGCCTTGGAAGAAGGTCTGCACATTTCAGTTGTTCCCAAATGCTTTCAAAAAGAGACTGGACAAACATGTGTCTGAAATGGTGTAGGGACTCCCGTTCTAACAGGAGATTGGACTAGAAGACCTCCAAGGTCCCTTTTAATTCTATTATTCTATGTTCTATGTTCTATGCATAGTGCACTGGCCTCTCATGCTACATGATGCCTATATCATTTCTCTTTGTTGAGGAACATCATCAGTTTTGAGGACCATGATCTTCCTGCATCTTCCACCATTGTTTTTTTACTTCATGGCTGTTAAGTGATTTTTTCCCCTCTTCTTTGCACTTCATTGGGCTAGGAAAGCTGGATTCAGAGTGCTGGTCCTTGTTGCCTAGGCCCAGCAGCGCACCTGGGTCTGCTTTTGTTCAAGAGCTCCAAATTAAATAAAAACCTGCTGATTCTAATATGGATCACCACATACTTTGGGGCCAAACGACACAGAGGGACTTTTTCTCTCATCTTTAGAGCACCTTTGGTCAACTGGTCTTCCATGAGAGGTTGTGATTTTTTTAAAAAAAATGTTTTGAACTTTGCCACACAATGCTAATGCTTGCAATGGTGGGAATGTTTACTTGGCTCAGCTGTCCACCTGCCATTTTGGTGCTGTTTTTGTAAATGTTGTAAAATCCATGGATTGTATAGGTTAGAAATGAATTGTGTTGGGAACTTTTTGTATGCTTTGCAATGTTTATGAAAGGCTTCTTTGAGACTTGAAATTATCTTGAGGGTTCCTACAGGATGAAAAGGTTGTGGTAGACCAATTTCTGAACTTCAGCCACTTAAGATAGGTGGACTACATGGAAAGGATTTCTAGGAGTAGGAATTCACCCATTTTAAAGTTGCTGAGGATTAGAGTATAGACCAGGGTCTTCAAACTTGGCCCTTTTATGACTTGTGGACTTCAACTCCCAGAATTCCTCAGCCAGCATGCCTGGCTGAGAATTCTGGGAGTTGAAATCCACAAGTCATAAAAGGACCAAGTTTGAAGACCCCTGGTCTAGACCATAAACTGATAATCTAAGTTTCTTCTTAGGATCTACTCTCTTATGAAAAACACACTGCTACAAGTTAGTTTATTGCCTATGTGATACCCTTGCGGGAAAAGTCTTTCAAATTCTTTTGACCATTTTAATAGCGCCACAATGTTTTATTCACTGTTAATTTTTGTGTCATGCTGTTTTAAGACACTTCCACGTGAAGCTTCTGTGGGTTTTTTTTTTTCCTGCTGATCTTGGATTGGCTCTGTACCCGATCATCCTATACCACTTGGCAGGAGATCAACTGTGTGCAAAAGTTTGGAAGCAGTGAGATGGCTTTTTTTTTTTTCTCTTGCTGCTCCTGCGGCAGGATTTTTAACAAAAGGACAGTGGTTTTTGCTTTTTTGTTCTCAGGATTTTTTTAGTGGGTAGGAGGGAAGACAATGAAAGGTCATTTTCAAATTTCTTGGAGGAAATGAACTGAAGTAATAGTGAAGTAGAAGCATCTCTATTCTCACTATTTTGTCCATAAAAACTGCATGGCCATATACTCTGTACTGCAGACAAATAATGTGAAAAACAAGTGCATATCTCTTTGGAAGAAAGGCTAAGGTTCACAGAAAACAGACTGAATATTTGCAGGACTGAATAAAGTAGTTCTTACCTGATGGAAATGCTTGTGTTTTTTCCTCTCTGGATAAGTACTTGCATCCTTAAAACATCTACTCCCCTCAATATCCATTAATGTGCTCCGCAAACATCCAGATCTGGTAACTTGGTAAGCACAGAACAGCTCAGTTGCATTCCCCAATAATTTTCCACAAAAAGATGGGATAAGCATGTGGAGTTTTGGCAGGAGGAAGAGCATTTTAATTGTACTAGTACTTTTAATATGTCTTGAAATAATTGTTCAAAGGCTGTTCTGTTTTTGAAAAACCTTTATTAGGGCTGCAGTGTGATTACAGGTAGTCCTTGACTTACAACCATTCTTTTAGTAACTGTTTGAAGTTACAACAGCACTGAAAAGTAACTTATGACCATTTTTCATGTTTATGACTGTTGCAGCATCCCCATGGTCACATGGTCAAACTTCAGATGCTTGGCAACTGGTTCATATTTATGACAGTTGCAATGTCCTGGGGTCATGTGATCACCTTTTGCAACCTTCTGACAAATAAAGTTAATGGAGAAGCCAGATTCACTTAACAGCCTTGATACTAAATTAACACCTGTGGTGACTCACTCAACTGTGGCAAGAAAGGTTGTAAAATGAGGCAAAACTCACTTAACAAATTCTCTTTTAACAACGAGGTTCAATTGTGGTCAAAGACTAGCTGTATTCTCTTTTCCTTGACCTCTTGAGAGAACACCCATTTCTCTTTGCACCATCATTGGTATTTCCATCCTCCGTACACATTATTCTATTAGTTTTGACTTACATTCCTGCTATTAGGTTTTATATCTCTACTGAAACAATTTGCAAAGGTGCGTGGAAGAAATGGAAAACCCTGTGCTATGTTCCTTCCTCTCTTTGCAGAGACAGACAAAGGGAGGGAGACACCAACAAGGTTCCTCACTCCATACAGGTACTATTTGCTCATTGCTGACACCAATATTTTCTTCTGAATTAATACTGGAGATGGCTTTCTGATAATAATCTAAGATTTATTTGGTCATTGAATTTCATAGGACACAACTTCTTTCGCAAAGCCTCATTTCCCATGTTTCTCTATGAGTCACTGTTTGCTTTGTGTCCTTTCATTAGAAGCAAAACAGATTCCCCTGTAAGTTAATTATTATGTATGGCTATATAAGATTTATTCAGTGATCCAGGTAGATGGATGGATAACAGTTTTTATCATCTGTCATCTTTGTCGCTTTGATAGAAAAAAAAACAGCAAGTACATTTTATTAATGTAACTTCTATATTGCTGACTCCTGAAGTCTTTTAATACTTAACATTTTTAAAAAATATATATATAAAACAACTTCAATCTTATTGGAGCATCCAAAGCAATATTTCTTTAAGAGCTCTTAAAAGTTTAAAGATTAACACATTTATTTCTGCATAAGCTTTCATGGACTACAATTATTTCATTGGGTGTACAGAGTGTTGCTTAGCTATTTTGCTTATTTTTTAAAAAATAAAACTGGTTTAAAAATTTGTCTGAAGTACATATCTAACTTTATGTTATATCTACTTTTGGTAGCTGTAATCAATAAAGTTTAAAGATTAAAGTTACAATAAAGTTCAAGAAATATTTGTTTTACTTGATTTCCTCTATTGCTGTGCTATTCTAGAAATTCTTCACATGGGTACTTCATGGTTTCATTTATTATTTCCAAAATGATTTTCAATCCTATACATAGTTATCAGCAAGTAAATTTAACCTGATAGTATGCTATTTATTTCTAGTTTCATGAGTGATTTTTAAAAAAGTTTTAATAAATAATCTTCAACAAATCCAAATATGTTGCAGAGAAATGAAATGTCCCACTGAAGATGTTAAAATACAGTATTTCCTTATAGAAATTGCTTCTAATAGAAGAGCTTGGAAAATAAATAATTTTCTTTTATGCTATTTTCTTATAAATGATAATAGAGTTTAAAAGTTTGATTCCACTTGCTGGGGAAAGGAATGTAAACACTTTGATTCAGTGGAAGACTATATTGCTGCTCTGCTCTTAAAATAAGCCCTTGAGCTGTGCTTTTTTGCCTTTGTTCCCTCATTGCTTCCTGCCACATCAAAAATAAAAAAAGCTACAGAACTGTCTCTTTAGAAATTGGGAAAGTCACAGTAGTAGATCATGTTGAATAGTATTTAGCATTTCCTTCAAAACTAAATACAGAATTAATCTTAAATATTTTTCTTCTTTCCTTTCTTCCTTTTCTCAGGATCCTGTGAATTTCAATGAGATGATCTGCTCTCAGCAGGAGGTGAAAATGGAATATATTCTGAATGAGGACAAAATGGATAGCTCTATACAACAGTAAGGATCAAAACACATCTATTAACAGCGTTTATATGAAGATAGGATAGAAGGGAAAGGAATAGTTTCCTGTATTGGTGGGGTCAGGAGCTTCTAAGGCAAGAATGAAGTGGCAGGTGTATTTAAGAACTTAAAACCCAATTTGAGTTCTGTCCCCCCCATTATCCATTACCTCGTGCTAGAGAACAAAGGAAAAAGCCATTCAGAATGTGCTATATAACAGACCAAAAAACCCTCAAAGAAAACTTCTTTTAATCTTCTGCAAAAGCGGATATCTACCTTCAGTACAGAAAATTATTACTTGATGATTTGGGCTCCAAACTTCTGACTACTACTGCTGCTGGTAAAAAGTAGAAGCCATTTCCTACCATACTAATAAAGGTAAATGCAGATATTCCTTGGTTAACAACCACTTGTTCAACAATCTTTTGAGGTTATTATAGCGCTGAACAAGTGGTAATTATGGCTGGTCCTCAAAGTCATGTGTTTGCCATTTGCGACTTTTCCTGCTGGTTCCCCACAAAGTCAATGGAGAAACCAGAAGGGATGACTGCAAGTTGCTTGGGGAAATCTCCTTCTCCTACATACCTTCTTCCAGCCTTTCAGCTCTTGAGCCTTGCAAGCCACTCCCACACCCTCCCACACAGTCCCTGAGCCTCATGTTGACATTGTGCTTCCCCAGCCATTCATGCACCCTCAGTCGTCATCTCTGAGCATTGTGCTTGCCTCATGCCTTCTCTGCCACTTGTTGTTATGTCCTGGACCGGCAGGCACAGGCTGCAGCGATTAGCCCGGGCAGACCATGTGGATGCCCGGGACAAGAAAGGCTGCAGCGATTGGCCCGGGCAGACCATGTGGATGCCCGGGCCAATCGCTGCAGCCTGTGCCTGCTGGCCCAGGACATAACACCTGTGCACCCTTGTGTGTCCTCTCCCACCTAGCAACAGTCACCCCAAACATCCCTGCACTTGTACCATGCCTCCTCTGCTACTCATACACCCCCTTGCTCCTTCTTCCACCTGACAGCAGACACTTACCTGCATACTGGCCTGCTTTTGAGCTACCTGGGACTTGTAGGCTTCCCTACAGGTTTCCCCACTGATTTTGGTTGTTGAAAACAGGCAGAAAGTTGTGAGTTGATGTCCCAAAGGTGCTTTTTTCATGAGGAAACTGGACTTCCTTGTTTTTCTTGAAGATGTTTTGCTTCTTATCCAAGAAGCTTCTTCAGCTCTGACTGGATGGTGGGGAATGGCAGGACAAGAGTATAAATCCTCCCATTCCCCACCAACTTTCAAGAAAAACAAAGTCCAGTTGCTTCATGAAAAAGCACCTTTGGGACAACCATGAACTGGATGACTGAGAATCTCCATAGATGCTTGCTTAATGCCCTAGGAACTTCACTTAATGATGTGCCAGGCATTGCCATTGCTAAGTGATGGGGTCATGTGACATTGCGCTTTACAGCTGAACAGAACAACTGCATTATTTGGCAATTGAAATTCTGGTCCCAATTGCCGTTGTCATTCAAGGACTTCCTTTACCATTATGGCAAGGTGGAGTTGAACCTGGACTCATTCAATAATGGGCAAGCTAAAATATATTTAATGCATGTAGGAACCCCATATTCCTGGTAGATAGTTTTGCATCACTAAAATTCAGTGAGCTTTAGGATCTGTGTCACTATGAGCAGTCATTTCTTTTTCTTTGTATTGTTAATGATGTGACAGGACATCTGATGATGTGACATCAATGACTGAACCTGATGTAGAAGCCAGTAGAAGAGTGATTTCCACTGAAGAAGACCCTTTGATAGAACCTTTTATAGATGAAGGTCAATTCTTTCCACAGGAACCTGCAGATCAAAATTCTTTGTTTAAAGAGTTGAATGAGGCTATTGCAGCACTGAGCAAAATGTCTGGATCCCATTATCAAGAAATAAATGATTTTGGTTTTCAACAACAAGAGTCCTTGGATCATATTAAACATCATGAAAATTTGCAACAAAATGTAATGCCTCTGTCTCCAATAAAAGGATGCTCAACAAACAATGCTATACAAAATAGAATTTCTGAAATGGCTAGTGATCAATCTATATCAGAAGCAGATCGTTTTAGAGAAGGACCAGTTCATGTAGAAGTCAAAGATCTGGAGATGAAGAAAGCTAACTTTTCTAAATTCAGAAAGGAAGTCATAACTATAGAGCCTACACTGAGAGAAAGGTTTGCTTCCATGATTCAGCCTTTTGTTTATTCAGATTTGGCAATACAGGTCAGTGACTACAAGAAAAGCCCAACAGAAAGTGGGACTCTAGTTTTAGAAGAGATAACTCAACCTGGACATAAGAAGAAAGTTTTAAAATATAATGATACCATTCAGGTCCCACAGCTATTCACTGATGAAGATGTGGCAAACCAGTATGCAAAAATGAAAATTCTAAATAGAAATGTATCACAGACTCAACTTCCTCTACTGAAAGATGTGCCATCAGAGTATTTTCTGTCCAATGAGGCTCTGCACAAATTACATACAGGGCATAATCCAAGCAGTCAATTACAGAATATGTTTGGACCAGGAATGCACACATAACTTTCTGAAAGGCTAGAGATGTACTCATTAGAAGATAGGAGAGAAGGATGGATTGGTCCATCTGAATGTAAGAAGAATCAAGAGGTCAGTGCAGAATTTAATGAAGAAACCAGTGTTAGAACAGAAGTTTGTGATTGCCAAATGAATAAAGAAACTTCTAAAGACACAGCTATTCTGTATTCTCATCCAGATCATTTTTATAATGTGCTATTTGTAGGAGACTCTAATGTTGGCAAAACTTCCTTTTTAAACAGGTTTCAAAATGATTCTTTTGAAGCAAAGGTGACTGCAACTATAGGTATGGATCACGTACTTGAAAATCATGCAATAAATGTATAGGTTTTTCTTTTTGAAAAGTCTTTTAGTTTAGTTTTAGTGGTTTATTTGTTTCTTTGATTTTGCTTTGACTTAGGCCTCTGTTAATAGGACTATCAGATTTGAGTTGCAGAAATCCAGATGAACAGTAAATGACAGCAAGTGTCATTTTAATGTAATATTATATTAATATCAGCAATAATAATAGTTGTTTTTATTGTTGTTCAAATATAACCCAAGAGGATACAAATAACTATTGGAATATAGAATAGTTGGAACTATTCTATAACAAAGCAGGATTTTTAAAAAAGAAAAGATACAAATTTTAAAGAAAAGATACAAATTAGCTATACGGAGCTAAACAACTCCTTGAATATCTTGAAGGAAAACAGATTTGGGGGGATTTTTTTAAAAAAACGGGCTCAGGTTGTACTTACAAAGAGGCAACTTTTTGAGTTGGAAGCCTTTGGTATGTACTGAATATTGCCAACTACTAATGCTGGCTCTATTTCCACCTCTTCCTACTGGCTCTGTCAGGGTGCCTTTTGGAGATAACTAGCTTTACGTATACTGGAGGTATGTTCTAACCAGTGTAGCCTTTTACAGTGTGCTGTATAAATAATGCAGAGACAATGTGACAAATTCCTTTTCTCCCGGTACTTGTGTTACTTAAGTTGGGCTTCTGATCAATAATGGAAAGCATTACTTTTTCTACTGTATGTCTAATGTTATTCCTTCCTGGTTTGATAATGGGACTGCACAACCATACTCTTAGCTGAACTATATACCCTTTTAAAGGAAAACATAGACAGGATATGTATCTTCTCCACATTACCTCATTTCTCCTGATGGGATTTTGCATAACCTTCCTTTTTTCCCTCTTTTTTATTGGTATAGTTAACATGAAAGAATATCCAAAGTCATTCTCTGCCTGCAAATGGCAATGCTAGGTAAAAAACCTTGCTTTTATTAATGCCTGCAAAATGACTGATCTTCAATATTCTACTCTTATCTGTAAAATTCCTGCTTGCATTCCTTGTTTTCTTTTGTCTGAGCCAGCTTGAGGCGTGACTTGAATTTTATTGTAAATGATTGCATTGTATTCTGTAGGAATGGACTATCGGATCAAAAACCTGTTTTTGGATAGCAGATGCTTTGCTTTACGTCTGTGGGACACAGCTGGGCAAGAAAGGTAGTATAAAGGCTGCAAAAATAAGGACAAAATATCGGGGAACTGACTTTGGACTATGCTCAAGACTGGTGTGATTAATGTTGATGAACAATGTTTGTTCCCAGAACTGCATGGCTTTATAACTGCATATTCTGTTATTGAAGGGAAAGTCCCATCGGCATATCATTCATGCAACCATTCACGTCATTTCAGCCACTGAGTGCAATTGCTTAATCAGATTGTAGCACCTCTGACAAAGGCTGTCTAACCTTTACATGAACATGTCATTAAAACATATTTGTTTTCCTGGGTAATTAGTTCCAATATTGAACTATCATTACCTTTTGAAGATTATGCTAACATTGTATCTAGTGGTGGGATTCAGCCAGTTTGCACCAGTTCGGCAGAACTGGTAGCTCATTTTTTGTCGCCCAGGCCCAGAATGGACTTCCAGAAGCAACATCCACACAGGAAACCGGTTGTTCACATATTTGAATCCCACCATTGATTGTATCTCACCAGTCTTTCAGTAATTTAAAGTCATTATTCTACATCTTTTATTGTGAGATAGAGGTTGAAAAGTGCAATGATAACTCCCTTATCTCAAGGATAAATGTACCCACTCCTCAGTCCCTTTTTGCAGCTAGTCCTCTGCTTAAGGACTGCTTGTTTAACAATGGTGCACATGATCTTGGATAAACTGACTAACAATCCGTCCTTGAAGTAACAACCATTACACCACCCTTGCGGTCCACACAACCTCAGTTCGGGTGCTTGGCAACTGGCATGCATTTATAACATTTGTCTTGTGGTCACAGCATTGTGATTTGCAAATTTCTCAGCTGGTTTCCAATAAGCAAAGTCAGTTCACTTAACGACTGGGTGATTGACTTAATGACTACATGATTTGGTTAACAACCACAGTGATTCGCTTAATGACCACAGTAAAAATGGTTATAAAATTGGATCTAGTCGTGTGATGATTTGATTAACAACCAAAATTTCAGTCTCCATTGTCATAAATTGAGGACTACCTATATAGGTTTCAAGGGCTTGATCATCCTTGTACTCTTATTTGTCACTATTTTGCTTTTTAAGAATCTTTGTTAAAGTGGGGTCTCCAGGAAATTGTTACGCACAATACTTATGAGCATTTACTGATCAGATGCCCTTCCTGATGCCACATAGAGTTCTCAGCAGATATTTTTTTCTTCGCGCCCTAGGAGAGAAATATCTGCCTCTACCTAGGATTGAACTCTCAACCTTCCGAATGGGAGGTGAGCATCTTTACCCCCAGGCCACCACGCTGCTCTATTTCTAACAATAATAACATATTAAATATATTAAACAACATATGTATGATAAATTTTAAGGTTTTTTATCATGCACAATCATGCACATGAATCAATATGTACAGTATGAACACACATATTTGTGAAAAATGACATGTTTCCTGACAGATATCACAGTGTCACCAAGCAGTTTTTCCGAAAGGCTGATGGAGTTGTTTTGATGTATGACATCACCTCAGAATACAGTTTTATAGACGTGCGGTACTGGTTGAATTGTGTCCAGGTAAGCAATAAACAGCTATATTCCACTATTGTTTAATCTCAGTTTTTTATTTTTGATCATGATGATTCTCAGAAATTTGAAACACTTTAGTTGGAAAAATGCTAGTTGGTGCTATATGTGGTTACATAGTCTGTTTCTGATAGTCTTTACTACTTTTATAAATACATTGAGGGTTGCAGTTCAATCTTTGTGATGTTACTCTAATGCTGTTTAAAGATTTAGCTAAAAGTATACCGCTGCTGCATAGATATATCAAAATCTTTTAAAAGCATAAATATTGGAAATTATTTTAGATAGATTGTGTTATTAAAATAGCCATGGAGCAGGGAGCAGGGTATTTTTTCAAAAGGCAACTGGACTTTTTTTTTTTACCTTGAGGAAACGTTTCGCTTCTCATTCAAGAAGCTTCTTCAATTTTGACTTCATTTGATGATGAAATTGAATGATTCAGTCAGAACTGAAGAAGTTTCTTGGATGAGAAGCAAAATGTTTTCCTCAAGGAAAAAACTAAATCTAGTTGCCTTTTCAAAAAGCACTTTTGAGATAACCATGACCTGGATGACTGAGAATCTCCACAGAAATCTGTATGTTATTTTATTTTTAGATGTGCGTTAAGGTGCTTCTGGATTATATTTTTATTCCTTGCCTTACAGAATTTTGCAGGGTATCAAAACATCCTCCTTAATCAGTAATCCTTCTGTATTTTCTTATCGCTTCAAAACTGAGAGTAGCTTATCTGATTCACTGCCATGAACAAACAAATATTTGTTGTTGTTAATTGCGAAGTCGTGTCCGACCCATCGCAACCCCATGGACAACGTTCCTCCAGGTCTTCCTGTCCTCTACCATCTTCTGGAGTCCATTTAAGTTCACACCTACTGCTTCAGTGACTCCATCCAGCCATCTCATTCTCTGTCGTCCCCTTCTTCTATTGCCCTCAATCTTTCCCAGCATTAGGCCCTTCTCCAGTGAGTCCTTCCTTCTCATTAGGTGGCCAAAGTATTTGAGTTTCAACTTCAGGATCTGGCCTTCTAAAGAGCAGTCGGGGTTGATCTCTTCTAGGACTGACAGGTTTGAACGCCTTGCAGTCCAAGGGACTCGCAGGAGTCTTCTCCAGCACCATAGTTCAAAGGCCTCAATTCTTTGGCGCTCAGCCTTTCTTATGGTCCAACTTTCACAGCCATACATTGCAACTGGGAAAACCATGGCCTGGACTATACGCACTTTTGTTGGCAGGGTGATGTCTCTGCTTTTTAGAATGCTGTCTAGATTTGCCATAGCTTTCCTCCCCAGGAGCAAGCGTCTTTTAATTTCTTGGCTGCAGTCCCCATCTGAGGTGATCTTGGAGCCCAGAAAAATAAAATCTGTCACTACCTCCATTTCTTCCCCATCTATTTGCCAGGAATTGAGAGGGCCGGATGCCATGATTTTGGTTTTCTTAATGTTGAGTTTCAAGCCAACTTTTGCACTCTCCTTCTTCACCCGCATCAAGAGGCTCTTTAGTTCCTCTTCACTTTCTGCCATTCGAGTGGTATCATCTGCATATCTTAGGTTGTTGATATTTCTCCCGGCAATCTTAATTCCAACTTTTGATTCATCTAGCCCTGCCTTTCTCATGGTGTGCTCTGCATATAAGTTAAATAGGCAGGGCACAGTATACAGCCTTGCCGGACTCCTTTTCCAATTTTGAACCAATCAGTGGTTCCGTGTTCAGTTCTCACTGTTGCTTCTTGACCCGCATATAGGTTTCTCAAGAGACAAATGAGATGGTCTGGTACTCCCATCTCTTTAAGAACTTGCCACAATTTGTTGTGATCCACACAATCAAAGGCTTTTGCATAGTCAATGAAGCAGAAGTAGATGTTTTTTCTGGAACTCCCTAGCTTTCTCCATGATCCAGCGTATGTTGGCAATTTGATCTCTAGTTCCTCTGCCTCTTCGAAATCCTGCCTGTACTTCTGGTAGTTCTCGATCCACATACTGCTGGAGTCTAGCTTGTAGGATTTTAAGCATAACTTTACTAGCATGTGAAATGAGTGCAATGGTGCGATAGTTTGAACATTCTTTGGCATTGCCTTTCTTTGGAATTGGAATGTAAACTGACCTTTTCCAATCCTGTGGCCACTGTTGAGTTTTCCAAATTTGCTGGCAAATTGAATGTAGCACTTTTACTGCATCGTCTTTTAAGATTTTGAATAGCTCAGCTGGAATACTGTCACCTCCACTAGCTTTGTTGTTGCTCAGATTTTCTAAGGCCCATTTCACTTCACATTCTAGGATGTCTGGTTCGAGGTCAGTGACCATCTCATTGTGGTTATCTGGGATGTTAAGCTCATTCTTGTATAGTTCTTCTGTGTAGTTTTGCCATCTCTTCTTAATCTCTTCTGCCTCTGTTAGGTCTCTGCCATTTTGGTCCTTTATCATGCCCATCTTTGCATGAAACGTTCCCTTCATATCTCCAATTTTCTTGAAGAGATCTCTGGTCCTCCCTGTTCTGTTGTTTTCTTCTATTTCTTTGCACTGTTCATTTAAGAAGGCATTCTTATCTCTTCTAGCTACTCTCTGGAATTCTGCATTCAATTGGGTGTATCTTTCTCTTTCTCCTTTGCCTTTCGCTTCCCTTCTTTCCTCAGCTATTTGCAAAGCTTCCTCAGACAGCCATTTTGCTTTCTTGCATTTCTTTTTCTTTGGGATGGTTTTAGTTGCTACCTCTTGTACAATGTTGCGAACTTCCATCCATAGTTCTTCAGGCACTCTGTCTATCAGATCTAATTCCTTAAATCTATTTGTCACCTCTACTGTATATTCATCAGGAATATGATTTAGTTCATACCTGAGTGGCCTAGTGCTTTTCCCTACTTTTTTCAATTTAAGCCTAAATTTTGCAACGAGAAGCTCATGATCTGAGCCACAGTCAGCTCCTGGTCTTGTTTTTACTGACTGTATAGAGCTTCTCCATCTTTGGCTGCAGAGCACATAGTCAATCTGATTTCTGTGTTGACCGTCTGGTGATGTCCATGTGTAGAGCCGTCTCTTGGGTTGTTGGAAAAGAGTGTTTGTTATGACCATCGTATTCTCTTGACAAAATTCTATTAGCCTGTGCCCTGCTTCATTTTGTACTCCAAGGCCAAACTTGCCTGTTATTCTGGTTATCTTTTGGCTTCCTACCTTAGCATTCCAATCCCCCATGATGATAAGGACATCATTTTTTGGTGTTAATTCTATAAGGTGCTGTAGGGCTTCATAGAACCGGTCAATTTCATCCTCTTCAGCACCAGTGGTTGGGGCATAGATTTGGACTACTGTGATATTGAATGGTTTGCCTTGGATTCGAATTGAGATCATTCTGTCATTTTGGGGATTGTATCCCAGTATTGCTTTTCCTATTCTTTTATTGACTATGAAGGCTACTCCATTTCTTCTGAGGGATTCTTGCCCACAGTAGTATACCTGATGGTCATCTGAGTTAAATTCACCCATTCCTGTCCATTTTAGTTCGCTGATTCCTAAGATGTCGATGTTCAGTCTTGTCATCTCTTTTTTGACTACGTCTGTCTTGCCTTGATTCATGGATCTTACATTCCAGGTTCCTATGGAGAAAAAATCTTTACAGCATCGGACTTTCCTTTCACCACCAGATATATCCACAGCTGAGCTTCCTTTCGGCTTTGGCCCAGTCGCTTCATTCTTTCTGGCGCTACTAGTACTAGCCCTCTGCTCTTCCCCAGTAGCATATTGGACACCTTCCAACCTGAGGGGCTCATCTTCCAGCGTCATATCTTTTTGCCTTTTAGTACTGTCCATGGGGTTTTCATGGCAAAGATACTGGAGTGGTTTGCCATTTCCTTCTCCAGTGGATCACATTTTGTCAGAACTCTCTGCTATAACCTGTCCATCTTGGGTGGCCCTGCATCGCATAGCTTATAGCTTCATTGAGTTATACAAGCCCCTTCGCCACGACAAGGCAGTAATCCATAAAGGGGAACAAATATTTAATACTCTTTAATTACTCAGGCTGAGTATGGGTAACGAGTGCTCCACTTTGGAATTAAAGGCACTTATCTCTTATATATTATATACATTCATGGAAACAAATAAAAAATAGAGTAAAATAAGAATTAAATTTCCTTTTAAAAAAACCTTTTACAATTCTAAAAATCAGGAGTAGGCAATAATTTTTGACCAAGAGCCACATTCATTTTTTTGGGAAAAGGCTGAAAGCCACCTTATTGGTGGGATAGTTTTACACATGGATATGTGAAACTTGGATATTATGGGAGTTGAGGCATTTTATTTGTGATAGTTCTTAAAACCATGAAATAACTATTTAAGGGCTTACATATTTTTGCGCTGTAAAATGGGAGTGCATTGTGCCTCAGTTTTTATCAGTCAAGATTTGAGGGTGCTGCAAGGGTGCTTGCAAGAACTCAAGTTGCCATCTTCAGTATACCTTATTGATGTTATTATGCACTTCACTGTATGTCTTATTAGTTTTTAAAGCATGGACATATTTTATCTGTAAGTTCTCCCTTTCATTATATTTTATATGTCTTTATGGTGGCTTCAGAATTTCATAATATACTGTATGGCAAGCTAGATATGTAGACAGAAGAACATATACTTCTCCCATAATTTCAAGGGGATTTCCAAATTCCCTTGAAATTATGTGAGTACTAGTGTTTTAGTACTATAGGTGGTAAAGATATTACATGGATCCAGAATTAGTCCACTAATATGCTATGTAACAGTTGATGTCCTAGCTGCTGCCATGGCTTAATTTGAACTACTACCATAGCTTATTCTGTGATGTTGTAGAAACTCAGTTGTTTGTTGAATAAACCTTGACTAAAGAAATCATAGCATAACATTATATGTAAAACCAGAACTAGCAGCTCTTATGCTTCTGCTTCCCCTTCATGAAGCTTTTTGGACCACATTGGGTTTCCCTTTTCTATCAATCAGCTTTATTTCAATCCTTGACCAATTCAAAAAGAAAAACAATTCTGAGACAGTAAATAAAAATAGCAACATAAGCAATAATTGTAAAATCGATGTGGTTAAAGTACAATGTATTTTACAAATGATAAAGCAAAACTTAGCTACATTCAGAGAAATACCATCACAGGCAATAATAACTATAAATATATTGAATCTGGGCAGTCTGGAAATCTGACTACTAGATAGATAGTGAAGCTATTAGCTGTAATAATTCTTTTGTACTCACAAATACTCATCAGCAAAAACATGTAGTTGTGAAACAAATCATTGACAATTATGCAATTAACCATTGTCAAAACAACTATTTGTAAATTAGCCATTGTTTTAAATGTTGTAAAAATTAGGCAATTAAAAGTAGATCTTCAATATTTTATATCTCCAAATAAATGAGCATACTATTTCTTTTAATGGTTAGGAAACTTAATCCCAATAGATTTTATTTTTTTACCGTTGAAAGATTTAACAACACATTTTGATTTCATTTAATATTTGAAGAAATCTGTGTTTCCTCATAGGAAGGAGCTGGAGCTGGAGTCGTTGTCCTTCTGCTTGGTAACAAAATGGACTGTAGTGTGGAAAGGAGAGTATCTGTAGACAATGGAGCATACTTGGCTAAGGTACACTCCTCGCTTTTCTCTTATCATTTTAATTATTTTTCCACTGATAGTAAAAATAATCTGATGCAATCCGGAAACATTTGCCATTAATTTAATAAAATATAAATAAAATATTAATTTAATAAAATATTAATACAATGTTTAATAAGTTATTTAACAAAATGTTAAATTAATTATAAGAAACTAGTTCAAATGCTAGCCTAATCCTTTTATATTCACTTGTCCAAGACTTACTCTCTGCAGGAAGAAATAGAAAAAAAATAATAGTATAAGCTTATGTTGATAACACACTAAAACAGGCTACAAAAGCTAAAAAGGAGGGTGGGAAGCTTCATTGGCATTTGTACCTGTATTTCATTGACATTGGCAGGTGGGTTCATTTCAATCAAATTACTTGCCTTTTTTTTTTTTTGACTCAAGTTCTCTACGTCAATCCATCCAAAACAAAAATAGAAACATTTGACAATGTCCAGTGTGATATTCCATCTTCCAGATAAAATAGCAAGACTGAAAATTGGATTCAGTTTTGGGGTTAAAGTGTAAAATTTGTCAATTAAAAAAAACGTGATCCTTGTCACCATTGTCTCTTACAATTTTGTGCCAGGTGTATGGACTTCCATTTTATGAATGCAGTGCTGCTTCAGGCTACAATGTTACAGAATCCATAGTACAGTTAGTCAGGTGAGTAATCAGTGCCAGCTCTTACTTAGATTATGACAGGAAAAACTCATACAACTCATACCGAAACCTACAGCAACAGAGATCTTTCTAAGTAGTGAATGAATTAATGAAACTGTCAAGCGCAAAAAATCAGGAAACGATGAATGAATAAAAGTTTATTGCATGCTAACTACAGAATCTTAACTACTAATGGTCAAGGCAAATTAGTGGCAGATAAGAGTCAACAGAATTCAAGGTGGGCTGGACTTCCTTCTCTTGTGGATGTGAAGGGACTCAAGACTGATGACATGCTTGACCCCCTCCCTCGGGCTCAGTCTGGTCATCTCCTACTGAAACTTTGTTGAATATTCATTGTGGATGTCAATTATACCCATAATGTCAAGACTGACTAAAGCTGGACTATTTTTTATTTAAGGGGAGAATGTGTGTGAATTTGGTACTGTGTAAGTTTTGTTTAAGAGACTGTGTGAAAGAGACCTGTTACTTCAAATGGTCTCAGAAGTTTTGGAAAATCTTTAGGAGTATGCAAAACAATATACAGACTATTTGCTTCTGTATTTATAATAGGTTGATGAAAACTCAGGAAAACCAATTAAAAAAGAAGGCTCTAGACTTGCCAGTGCAACTTAAAAATAAAAGAAGTTGTTGTTTATAAAGTGGAAAAGACTAATGACTGTTGATCCTTGTGTCCACTGTGTGATTGTATATATTGTTTGCCCTCTTGAATTTGGATTGAATCCAACTTGTATAGTTTAGGAAGTTTAGCCACTTGGATGAAAATTGAGGATGGTCATCACTTTACAGATTTCAGACTTTGAGTTACTCTGGATCCCTGACCTGTTCCTTCCAGTAGAGAATCTCAAATTGTTCTCCATTGGAAATTTGCCAAGTAGTTATGAAATTAACTTTATTTCCCCTGCTTTTAGTCATCTAATTCAATAGATGTGGCTTAGGATATGTGATTTCTATAATAATGCTACAGGTCATTGACATTGCTCCTTAAATATATATTTGTTAAGAGACAATTATCTGTGCTCTGCTGTAGTGGCTAACATGTTCAGTGCCAGTGCTGGGGGAAAATGTTTATTTCATATGAGCTTTGCACATGTTTTGGACTGTAGAAAAATAAAAAATACTGAAAGAAATAATGGAAGATATTTTGCACTTTGAGATTGGATGAGGGAACCACTTGTAATTCTTCACATAGCCACAATATTTCACATATTTTGCTGTGTTGCCTCCCACTCCATCCCCGTTTATATCTATCTGTTTCTGTTCACACTGAGGAAATTCCAAAGTGCCTCCTGAAGTTACTGTATGCTACCTAATAGAAAGGCTTAGCCTCATATGCATCTTACCGAACTTTTTCAAGCTTGGCAGCTTTAAGATGAGCGGACTTCAATTCTCAGAATTTTCAGCCAGCTTGCTGAGAATTGAAGTCCACCCATTTAAAACTGCCAAATTTGAGAAACACCAACATGTATTATCTTTAATTAAGCTCCCCTCCCTCCCCCCCTCTAATACAAAGTTTCTTCTGATTATTAATATAATTTGGTGGCTCTTCTATGATTTCATACTGATGGTAAAGAAGATTTTAATGTGGACAATCATCTCTCTTGCTTATTATTCTATTCTGCATGTCATATAATGTATATTTTTCTGTTTATGACATCCTTGTGCTGACAAATATTGGCATAAGAATAATACAGTATGCAAGTATTGTATTGCCATTAATGTATGCTATTTCTTTTACACTGTACTAATTTCATTTCTAAGTATAAGATATCCATTTACTGCTGTAGTTCATATATCTTTAAATAAAGTACTTATCCTTAATATACAGTTCAGTTTCTTCTCTCCATAGAATTTTACTGACATGCAGAGGGGGAGGGGGGGAGGGGAGAAACATGCACATTTATTCTACTCTTGCCGTTGTGTTTTAATTTGTTGCCTGCTATTAGTGTCCTCAGGATATGGCCAGAACAGTTAACATGGTGGCCACAAATGGTGAATTCAAAGCTCTTATTTCCTAGGGATTCTTGGGCATTTGTATAGCAGTTTTCTTGCAGTTTTATGGAAGCAGATTGCATTGTTTTCTTTATGATTTTTAACATTTGCTTTCCAGCCTGCTTACCAGAGAAGTTCCTAGGGACCTGGGACTTGAGAGTAGCAAAGTTGGTCAGTGTGGCCATCAGTTATTGGCAAAAAGCAAAGCAGAATGTAATCTGTGATCCATTATCAGAAATGAGCTCTTGGCCATTAGTAATAATCCTAGATAAATTCATCAATATCGGACCTAATTATTCAACTTCTGTTTCATTTTGATTGATTTGAAACATCTGCCAAATCATTTACCTAAAATAATTCCAAATAATTTACATTCTTGAAAGATTTTTCATTAAAAAACCATAACAATTGGAAAGATATTTAGTAAATTAAAACACCTTGGTGAAATTAGTGGAGTTTTGCCTGGGATTAAAAACAACTAGATTGGTGTGAACATTGGCCAGTCTCAAGGAGAGGGCCATTAAAACATATCTTTTCTGTAGAACTTTGGGGGCAGAAGAGATATCAGAAATACAGATAGTTCTCAAATTATGACCAAAATTGAGCTCAAAATTTCTGTTGCTAAGTGAGATAATTGTTAAGTGTTTCCCCCCTTATTTTATGATCTTTCTTGCCACATTTGTTAAGCGAATCATTGCAGTTGTTAAGATAGTAACATGTTTGTTAAGTAAACCTGGCTTCCCCATTAACTTTGCTTGTCAGAAGGCCACAAAAGGTGATCACATGATTCCAGGACACTATAACTGTCATAAATGTGAACCAGTTATCAAGCATCCAAATTTTGATCATGTGACCATAGGGATGTTGCAAGGATTGTAAGTGTGGAAAACAGTCATAAGTCAATTTTTTCAGTGACGTAACTTCAAAGTCACTAAATGAATTGTTGTAAGTTGAGGGCTACCTGTAGACTCCTTTGGTTATCAACTTTTTGAGTGTCCCTTAGGTTCCAGATTTATTTTGACATTTAATTACAACATTCTGTTTTGTGTATTATTAATCTTTTTACTCATACAGGCCTGTGGGATTGGACTGGCACACACAAAGGGAACAAATAAATGAATGGTTCCCCACCCAAAAGGTAGCTTGCCCTCATAATGGTCCACTTATTTTGGATAAGACTTGCTCTGTTGACCTCTAGATGTGTTTGGCTACACATCTTTATGCAAGGCCTTGCTAAAAGGCAATTTGAGGGCTTTTGGCCAAAACATCCAATGGGTAGCTATGGGGAAGCCTGAAGGCAAGATGATGTGATAGATATTGCCAAGTCTCCAATTTCCAGACAAAAAGGGATTTAAAATTAATTTGTTTAGATAATATTGAATAGCCATAATTGAACAGAATTATGTTTACTGAGACACAAGCAGAACATTAAAATGTTGTTTTAATTTTTGGTGAATCATCTATTAAGCAAAGATACTCTTTGCTCATTTCTTTGTGTATTTTCTCTACCATCTGTAAATAATCCTGAATGCACGGAAGAAGGATTTCAAGAAAACTGCCAGTTGTGTACTTTCTTACTTCAGATATCAAATCGCTACAACAAAAACACATTTTTATGATCAACCCTGTTTGAAATGTCTCCACCAGATGGCAGCAACACAATTTAAAATTCATCACTTGTGTTAAGTTTGGGCCAATTTGAATTTGTTCCAGAATTTAAATCTTTATAGTAATTTGAAAATCAACAATAAAATGAGATCCTAATTAAAACAGCTATTTTAAAAGCAAGTTGGACTAATAATAAGAAAAATGTATACTGATAATGAATCATCTCACAAATGAGTGAAATGACAGTGACAAAATTCAGATAAGTGTGATAATTGAAACAATAAATTGTATCTCATACGTTGCATTTTGAGTTTCATTTCAATTGAATCTATGGCCAAAAGTTAAAGTTTCATGCAACCCAGCAAAAAAAAAAAAAAAAAAAAAAAAACCCTTAAGAAAAAATACTGAGTACCAGGTCTCTAAAATATTGTATTACTGATTTATATACATGTTATAGTATCTATATGTTGCAAATTTCTTTCAGAAGATCCAGGCAGCATACATAATGTTCCCTCGGTTTTTTCCTATAACTAGGGTAGGTGGCTGACCCAAAGTGACCTAGTGGTTTCTGTAGCTAAGGATGAACTTAGTCCAGTGACGGCGAACCTTTTAGAGACTGAGTGCCAAAACTGCAACCCAAAACCCACTTATGCATCGTCAAGTGCCGGGTGGATGTGGCCCATTGGCTGGGTGTGGCCAATTGGGTGGGCATGGCTGCAGTGGTAACGGCAGTCTGGGTGGGACTAAAAAGTTCAATCAATCAATTCCGACTTTGCAAGATCTTTTTTTTTCCTGCAAGAAGTTGAAATTGACTGAACCTTTTTTTTTTTTTTTGCACACAGAGGTGGAGGCCTAAAGCGAAAAGGTTTTATAAAACCCAGCTGAATGCCTAGGACTGGGCGATGGCATGCATGCCCACAGAGAAGGCTCTGAGTGACGAATTTTGTTGAACGTTTAATTCTTATCCAACCAACCATTTTAACATGCATGCCACACTGACTTGCTATTCTATGTTAAGGCTTTCAATGGAAGGTTTACAATGAAGAAATTCAAGACCCCCAAACTAGAATGAAAACAAATGAAAGATTAAGGCTTTAAAAGAAGGGGAGAGACAAAACTGGAAAGTGGCTAAATGGAAATATATTATTCATAAAGCAGTGTACAGAATTAGAATTTAGGATAAAGCAGTTGGTGGCATTGTCATATTGTCTATTAGTATATTTGAATTTATTTTTTAAAAAAATATGCTAGGGAATGTTAAAATTATTTGTAAAATTTCCAAAGAATGGAAAGAAAAATGGTGCATTTTTATATTTTAACCCTATACAGTACAAGAGGGAAGGATTTGGGATCCCTTCAACCTTAATCACTTTGTCCAGCAAAGGTGTTAGAATCTTTCACAGTCACCACTTATATTCCCCTCTCTCTCAAAAGCAGCTAACAGCTAACACTCATTATTTTGGTTGCTTTCAAAATACTGAGAGAGCAAAGCCACTTCATTCAGCCTTTTCTGGTATTGGATGAACAAAGATGCATTACCTTGGGACTACATTAAAAAAAAGTTAGGAGATGTGGGAACTATTGTAGATACTCCCAAGACTTCAACTCTATGTCATTTTTTTTTAAAAAAAAAAATCATTGGTGTTTGCACTCATGATCTTAAATGAACTTGGCTTTCTTAGCTTTTCTCTGTGCGTTGGGAAGCAGTTAAGTTCTGGAGTTCTGGATATTTTGAGTTCTGCCACCCAATCTGAAAAAGCATTTACCTCTCGAAGTTACTTTGCCTTTAGTACTTCCACTTGCCTTCCATCCTATCAGCCTCGCTGGGTATTACGGTAGCAATTTATGCTCAGTTAAGCGGGTGGACACCAATACAAATTGTGTGCACGGGACGCACCGACTTAATAGTTTACCTAACCCCATTTTCGGGAGACAGGAAGCTAAAATGTCGTTTGTGGTTCAGTGGGTGATGGAAGAAAGAGGCTGCCAATTTAGAAGCTCATTATTGTAAGGACGGCTACCCCCAGAGTGCTGTCTGCGAAACTGGCAAATGAAAAGTCCCAGTCGCGCTTTGAGAAAAAGGGCTGAACGGCAGATTCTTAATACCGAAGAGGAGCTGCTGCGGCGAATGTGCTGCTGCGAATTTGAGGTCAGGCATTGCCTGACTCCGGAAGTAGGAAGCCCGGAGTGCCGCTGCTGGACTGGCACGGAGGCACCCTTCGGGTCCATGTTGGATCCACGCGACTCGACCCGCCTGGGCGGTTCATGGGGTGAGACGGCGCTCGACAAGCGGGAGAGTCATCGCCAAGCTTGGACGGAGGTGGTGGCTGGGGCGGGGAAGGATATTGGCAGACTGTATTTCTTGGGGGATCCAGGGAGGGGACGGGTGAGAGATCCGCGCCGAAGGGGGCGGGGGCGAGAATCAAGTCGCTGGCCCAGCGCGAGGCCAGGAGGGTAGGTGTGTTTGAGAGAGCAACTCGAATGGCTTTTCGAGGACTCCTGGCTATTTGTTTTGTGGCCAAATGAATTCTATATAGGGCAGCCTGCAAGTCCGTATACGCGCTTACTGGGAAAGAGCCCCATTTGAGGTTATAGGGGTGGACTTCGGAGGAGACATGTTTCAATATTGCTCTGTTAGAAAGCAAAAGGGAACCAGGTGGAATAGAAAAACACGAGCCCCTTTACCATTGACTGCCAGTAGGGTGACTGTAAGACTCAGAAACGAAAGCTCTAAATTCATGTCAGAGGCTTCTGACATGGTGTATTCTGTGCTAGAGACCTGAAACGTGCGTTGAGGGATGAGGATGTTTTTGTATTGAGGTGTTGTTGTTGTTTTTTTTTTAAAAAAATCTGAACAATGTGATGCAATTGAGGAAAGTTCTAAATCTAAATTCTAAATCATGTAATCCAGGAAAGTTCTAAAGTTCTAGTGGAAATCATGCAGTTGAATTTTGCAAGGCTTTCCTCTTAGGTGATGTTACTTAGCACTAGGATGGATGGATGGACAGATGCACAGAGAGTTTTTTTAAATAAAGTATTGCCTTTACTATCTATCATAATTTAAATTCTTGATCCTGATATTCAGTTAGTGCATTTAGACAGTACAGTACCACAGTATGTTCCAGGACTCCAGCAATGAACATAACATGGATTTATTGTAATATATGGATTATATCTCAGTGTCATTCTGTTCTGTAAAGTTTTGTATTCCAGTTGGTCCTTTTGACAGTGTCTTGTAATGTATGAAATAGCACTGAATAGCTTGTTGACATTTTGAATATATTTAATATAATCAAAAACTCTTATGAGCATCAACAGCAGCTGGCATTAAAAAAAATTCTGGCAGTGATAACCCTTGTGCTTTCCAAATGACACTGGCTTTTAGTTACCATCATTCCTAACTTTGGCAAGGGTTCAATATAGCCCAAAGGTGTGTGTGTGTGTGTGTGTGTGTGTGTGTGTGTGTCCCCAAAAGTAAGACCTACCATGAAAATAAGCCCTAGCTTGATTTTTTTTGGGGTGTGGCTAATATAACCCCTACCCCCAAAATAAGCCGTAGGCGCACACCTAAAAATCAAGCTAGGATGGGGGGGGTAGAGCTGCCCCATATGCTCTGCACATGTTTACTTTTGGACCAAAAATAAGACCCGGTCTTATATATTTTTTGCCTCCAAAAGAAGCACCAGGACTTATTTTCAGGGGATGTCTTACTTTAGGACTGCTGCAGCCAGGCCTCCCAGGGCCTAACACCTTTTGTGCCATTGTCTGAGTTCTTCTGCGGCTGCTTGATCATGGCAGGAGACTGCACAGCTCATCGTACCGATGTGACGCAAACGGCAGGATGAGCCTTATGCTGTGAGCGGCAGCAGCAGTGGCACAATGCACTACATGGCATGCAGCCTCAAAAGAACTTGGGCAGTGGTGCGACAGGTGTCGGGGCATGAGAGGCCTGGCTGCGGCAGTCCTAAAATAAGACATCACCTGAAAATAAGACCTGGTGCTTCTTTTGGAGGCAAAAAATATATATAAGACCAGGTCTTATTTTCAGGATAACATGGTACCTATTCTGTACTATTTTCCACAAAAAGCAGTCAAGTGCCTGAGTTTTATTGTGAAATAAACAGATAATGTAATATTAAACACTCTAAGTATGTTTTCTAAGATCTATATCTGTGAGAGGGAGTTGTCATCTAAAGCATTTCAGTTCTCACTGATGAATTTTAGGAACAGTAGACGTGTGTGTGTGTTTTTGTTTGGTTTTGGCTGGTTTTAGGACACAGGTGATTGGCCTGGAATTACAAGATGGCAATTCAACAAATAGTGGATAGAATCTAAAAGTGCATGCATTATAGCAGGGCTGAATAACCACAAGCAACCTGAGATGTGCCTGCCATCCCCAGCACTCTGTTTTCAACTCTGGGATATCTGACTACCATGACACTGAAATTCAGTTGCACAGTGGCTGATTTTCCAGCCATGCAACTTTCATTCATCTTTGGGCTTTAAGTGTGAGAATAGAAACACAAGCCTCTGAGGCAAAGCATTCCCATGCCCTCTGTGGGACCTGTGATAGCTCAGCATGCTGAGTTGTATCCCCAGTCCAAAATAAATTGTCCCCTCCTTCTTCACAGTCTTTTCATTTTTCTATTCCAGCACTTGCTGTGGTGCTCAGAGCTGTTACAGAAGCTAAATAAAGTGAAGCTCTTTTTTTTTCTTTCATCATTTTTCAATGTTTTAAGTAAGGAACATTGCAACAAAAGTCTACTTATTTATTTTATTAAATTTATCTTCTATCTTTTATTCAAAAGCTTAAGATATACATAATAGCCTCTCCTATTTTCCCCACAACAATCACTCATTGTGCATTTTGCAGAAATGATTGTTACTAACTGTATTTAGAAAACTATTTTGTTTCATTAGACATTTGCATAGGAAAGGTTAGAAGAAGTATATAGTCTTGTGGACTAACATCATGCAAAGCGGTATATACATACACTTATTTTTCATTCCCCTGCCATATCTGAAACACCTTTCGGAGTTCAAGATAAGCATAAGTGATGCTTGAATATATATCCACATAAAACAGTTGCCCCTAGTGTAATGTTTTTCCATCAGAGAACAATCACACTTGCAGAAGTCACATGAGTCATGACTATGTTATTTGATACCCATAAATAGCATATTTCTTAAATGAAGAAAATATTATATTAATGCATTTTGTAAAAGTAAATAGAACTTAACAAAAATGTGGAATTTTACTCCTCTGTGCATTTCCCTTTCTTTGGGAATTATGCTGGTGCTGATTTGTATAAATGCTTAGTGCTTTGTGGGGGTAGATGCCTGTCTCTTCTCAGCATCATATGGGGAATAGAAAGTTAGAAGATTAAAACAATGAGGAAAACATTATTTTCAAATAATGCTGCATATATTAGCATATCATTCCATCTTGTTGATATCCAGACTATTTTGGTCTTTTTCCATTCATAGAAATAGTGTTATTTTACTCCAGTACATGAGTGCATGGTGTTATCAGACACCAGGACCTTGAAGATTCCTTTAAGAAGGATTCAGTGTTCTAAATATTTTCTCTTCTTGGAAAACATGTTATCAGATTTTCTGTTGTGCAAGTATGGGCTGCTCTTGGTATTATATTGCTAAGTGCCATAAATAGAGCAGTATCTCATGGTAAAATAAATGACTGAGTTTCAGTAAATAGCACTTTGTTTAAAACATTTTATGTATAATATTAAGAAATATTTTTCATTTGCATGGTTTGAGTATTCATTGACTAGAGATAGTGTGGATCATATCTGTGTCTGTTAAGCTGCAAGCATATAAACCATTGCTTTTGCAATAGTGAAATTACTTTGCATTCTGAAGTTCTGACTCCTACATTTCACTATTTCTTTATTGTGTTTGATAAAGTAGGATAACATCCCATTTTTGTTCTTTGTCAACTATTATTCATAGGCAAGAAATAGCTGCAGTATATCTCCAGAAACTTTAGAACAGTAGTTCTCAACCTGTGGGTCGGGACCCCATTTGGGGTCGAACGACCATTTCATGGGGGTCGCCAAACAACGCAGTCCGCCATTTTTTCCCTCTTTTCCTTAGCTGTGCTACTCCCTTTTATTCTATTGGCTTTTGAAAGCCCTGCTGAGCCTGCCAAAAGTCCCATTCTGCAAACGGTGCTGCACCAGTTGAGTAGTCCTCGACTTACGACCGGTTGAGTAGTCCTCGACTTACGACTGGTTGGGGGTCACGGCATTAAAAAGATTGAGAACCACTGCTTTAGAGAGTTACAGTAATTCTTGATCTGCCAATTGTGTTTAGTATAAAGAAAAGAGAACACACAATTGTTGCTTGATAATATCTGTTTGTCATTTACTGAGATGAATAAAATGGCTTTATTTCAAGAATCTAAATGCTTATGCCTTGATTCCATTAATTACATGTTTGAATGAACTAGACTTGCTACTTGCACAGCCAGATTTTCAGGCTTACTAGAAAGAACGTATCGTCTAATTCTGACACCTTCCTTGAGGCATTGGAATAGATTCTTTCTTAATTGTGATGAATTTTTCCTAATAGGATTTTTCATCAGAGGACATGGAGCTTTCGGCCAGTGAACTCAGCATTTATGATAAACTTTCAGAGACTATTGACTTGGTGAGACAGACTGGTTACCAGTGTGGTATGTCTGAAAAGGCCATTGAGAAATTCATTAAACAACTCTTAGAAAAAAATGAACCACAAAGGGGACCCCCACGCTTTCCTCTATTAATGGTTCTATATAAGGTAACACAGTTTTGGATTCTCCATGTTCTTGTAGAAAGTGTACAGATAGTCCTCGACTTACGACCACAGTTGAGCCTAAAATTTATGTTGCTAAGTGAGAAATTTGCTAAGTGGGTTTTGTTCCATTTTACGACTTTTCTTGCCATATTTGTTAAGTGAATCACTGCAGTTGTTAAATTAATAACACTGTCGTTAAGTGAATCTCGCTTCCCCATTGACTTTGCTTGTCAGAAGTTCGCAAAAGATGATCACATGACCCGGGACACTGCAACCATCATAAATATGAGCCAGTTGCCAAGTATCCAAATGTAAATCACATGACCATATAATGCTATAACCGTTATAAATGTAAAAAATGGTCATAAGTCACTTTTTTCGGTAACTGAGTGGTCACTAAATGAACTGTTGTAAGTTGAGGATTACTTGTACTGGAATTAGAAATCTACATAGAATGAAATTCCTGTGAATATGATTAGATCCATGGTTCTTAGATTTTAGGGTATATTGATGTTAATTTGTGCAACCTCTCTTTTTCCTGTGACAAAAACTAATGATTTCATTCTTGTGAGGATTGGATAGGAAATAAATATTTATTACTTATTTTTATTAGTGACTTATTAATATATAGTATCACTGAATATCTCAAAAGTTGCAAACCTACTAGGGATTTCACAGGTAAAATGAGGCAAAGTTGTCTTTTGATAGTGCTCCTACCATTGAAGCTTGTAGTCAACTTGCCAGAACAAATCTGGGTGGTAAACCAAAGTGAGCTTTTGGCAGCGGCCCCACTTTGCTTGCAAAGCCCCTGATCAGATTTGAAAATAAACAAGGGAACAAACCAAAGTGTCCCTCCCCCCATAATGTTCCTTTAGTGACCCCTGACCCACACTTTGAGACTCTCTCAGATAAAAATTTACAACAACAGTCATTTATGCTATCACGTTTATTGTATTGGAGAAATGTTAGACGGAATTAGTAATACTAATAATCTTATTCTTATCTTCTCTTGCAGGGATTGGTTACCCTGGGAGTAGTTTTACTAACGGCATACTTCATGATTCAGCCATATTCGCTTTCACCATCTGAAAACACACTCACCAAAGCCCACCCATGGAGTTCCCTCTTTCATCATATCCGGTTGCTGCCATTACCCATTACCAAGAAATACATGCTAGAGAGTAAGGAAATTATTTAAGCATTTATTTTATCATTAAACTAAAACAGCTGGATGCTTTACATATGATAAATGCAGATGACATAAATAAAAATCACTATTCAGTTCTTTATTTTTAAAATAACACTACATTCTGCTTTTTGTGAAAAGAAAAAGAATAACCGTTAAAGTCAAATCTGCTTGCAGTAAACATCTCTTGATTTGACGATACTCTTATTGTTGTAACAAAACTTAGCAAATTAGCTATAATGACTGTTCTGATGCTTTATGCACTAAATAGTGTGGCAATCTAATAAGGTATTTTTCCTTAAGCTAAAACTATTTCCTGATTGATCTTAAAAGGCTCATTTTGAAGATTTATACATTTAAGTGCATTGACTCATTGATCAGTAACTAGATTACTTCAGTTCTGCATTTTTGAAGAGTGAAACCTAACCTTTTATCACTGAAATCTTGTATAATAAATTTGTATCTCTCAAAACTTATGCAGAATTACATTTATGCCATTTCTAGTCCAGTTTGTACAATATGTTTTAGAAAAGAAATAATTTTTAAAAAGTTAAATTTCTAATATTTTGCACTCAGCCTTTATTTATTCATAGACTTGAAAGACTTGACTTGGTAGTTACTTTATTTCCCACTTTTCCTGTAATCTTCTGCTTCTCTCTAGCCTACTTCAAAGTACAATTCCTATTTTTTTCCTGATGGGTGTCACTATGATTGACAGGCTAGCAATAGCAGCTTTTCCTGAAATGTGTTACTCATTACACTTAAGAAAATTACTTTGGCATGTCTGCTCACAGCTTTAAGAAACAGAAGAAAAATACATTAATTTTTCCAGCAATTTTATCAAGCTTTCAAGTCCTGGAAAACTTGGTTTTTCACCATTCTTGTTTATACAGATGGCTAAATTATATGATCACTGTTTTAACTTTATTGTACTACTGTTTACCAACACATATAAACAAGCTAATCTTAGAGAGCTGATATGATATTTGCCATTTGGCAAAATTTTGTTTGTACTTGGACTGTGATAAGTCAAAGGATCCAGAAAGAGAATCTGTCCAAGAAGCAATTATTTGCACAGGGGAATAGGTTGTTTACTTTTCATTAATTGAAATGTACAAAGAACACTTCTAAAAAAAATTGGAATAAATTAGTCAACAGTTTTCCTTTCTTACCAGAAAGTCATAACACTGATATAATAAGCAACCAAGGTGTAATATACACGAGTAAAGCTGTCTGAATTGAACATAGTTGAAAAGTCATTACCACTGAAGTGCCTTCTGAATTAGGATAAATAGAAACATTATCATTTTAGAATATTGCATTCACACATAATCAGGGAAAAAAATATTCCTAGGAATATTGGCTACTTAAGTAATGATAAAATAATGATAAAAAATAAACAGCTAATAAAAAAATAAATAGAAGATTCTGGCTCTTAATGATTCATTTAATAGGATTATGTTCTATGTATTATAGTGGCATTTCTATGGACTGTTGCATGTTCATAGCAATACAAAATAAACACCAGATTCTGGTTTATATCTTTTGCTTCAGAAAACATATCCTAAATGGTTTCATAGTTTCTATTTCTAGAGCCACTTTCTAAAGATATTGAGTATGAATGTGTCCAAATCTCCTGTCTTTAAAGGGGAGATTATTTGGTACATGAAAACAAAAGAAGAATTCAGGCTGTACGGTACAGTTACAACTGTCTATTTAGAAAGGTAGAATGTATCTGAAATTCCACAAAAGGAAGCAGCTAAAAGGACTACTATGCCATATCATGTTTTATTCTGTTTTGTCTGCTGTTGATTTGTTGTATTGTGGTCAGTGATTGTAATAAAGAATTGAACTGAAGTAAAAGAGCAACTTTGAAGGGAAAAAAGGATAGTTGGAAAAATTGTAAGTTACTTTTCTGCTTCAAGGGACAGGACCTGCCTATCACTTTTCATTCAAGCAGCTTATAACACTCAAGTTCTGTTACTCATGTTATATGTAACATATGCCATTTAAAATCTAATATTTATCATGTCTTGGAAGGAAGTCCTTTTTTGTTCATTGGGACATAACGTTAGTAGCATATGAAGAATTGCAACCCAAATTGACTATTCTTTCAAATTAGAATTAGAAATGATTTCTCCCCTCCCTCATATTGTTATGTGAGAAGTGAGATCAGGGATGCTGCATAATTCTGTGTATTAAAGGACATTTTTCAGTTTGTCTCAGCATTCTTACTATAGGCGTAAGCAGCTGTTTTTCTTACATGTTATCTGAATAATCTTCTAAAGTGTGATAGAATACATAGTGATACAAATAAATGAAGAGGGTAATAGAGAAAAATCTGTTCTCTCAGCTTTTCATAGATGTTTTCTCAGTTATGTGCCATAAATCATTTTATTTATAAAATTTATTGGCCACGCATCTTACCATAGGGTAGTTCTGTGCAGCTTACAGTTACATCTAAGTGAAAACATAAAAAATTAAAATCAAACATTAAAGCCAAAGACATTGGGGGAGCGGAATGGGGGGGGGAGGTGGGATCTGTTATTACTCTACCAATCACCTCCATTGTGCTGCTCTCCACTGGGGCCCTAAGCCGACTGGCAAAGTCATCACCAAGATACTTTATAAAAGACCAGAGTGTTTTAACTCTGAACAATTAAAAATCAAGAACATGGGTGCATAACCTCAAACTGACAGTAGGGAAATTCAAAAGTAGGTTAGAAAGCATTACTTCACAGAAAGAGTAGTAGAAGCTTGGAACCAACTTCCAGCAGAGATAGTCATCAGTAACTGAGTTAAAACATGCTTGGGATAAACACATGTCCATCATCTGTCAAAAGTTTTAAAAAATAAAAATAGAAATAATTAAAAATAAATTAATAAAGCAAAAAAATTCAAAGGGCAGACTTGATGGATCACTAGGTCTTTTACTGCCTTCAGTTATCTATGCTGTGAACTGGAAATTAAATTATTGTTCTCCATTTTCATTCTGTGAGCTCAGAAGAAACTTCTTTATAAATTAGCATTATGTGGAGATATTGGAACCATCTTTGAAAGAAACAGCATGTGTGAAGTCATTTCACATCTACCACAGATTGTTGTTTTCTTGCCATTAGTACTTGGGTTGTGATCAAGCTAGAAAAAAGGCAAGTTTGTATAATGCCTGAAATGGGAGCTCGGTTTGCCCTAATTTTAATTTGTTACATTTTCATTATTTTTGAATAACCGTCAAAAGTGTTGAAAGCTTAGTGGTCTGGAATCAAAAACGTGTGTCATCATCCAAAACTGCTTATGAAAAGTGTGGTTGGTCTAATTCATCCAAGGTGTCAGAATCAGGATTACAACTTGTACTTAAGTTCTCTCTTTGTTTATGGGGGAAATGCCCATCCTTCCATCACATTTAAATATATTTCAGATATATTTAAGTAATGTATATATTAATTTTATAATTATAAAATTTTATAACTTTATAAATCCCAAAGAGAAGTAGATTTGTTTAATTTAAACTTTAAAATATGAAGACTGACACTGGAGTTTTAACGTGTCCCTTAAGAACATATGCTAGCAATATCTTTGAATTGCTCTGATACAGCAATACAACTGAAAATTAATTATGTATTTTGACATGTAGGCACTTACCTCAATGAAATTGTTTGGAAAATGTGGAACAGGAATTGTCAGGTGAAAAATAACTTTGGCTCCTAACAAAAGAGGTTCAGATATTTTTAGAGGCATCTGATTTAAGAGGACGTGAGAAAGTGCCAATGAAGCATTTAGGTTGGCTCATGAGCAGAGTTCCTTGTGGGCAGTGAGCTGTAACTGAAATCTAAAGGATTGTGGTTTGAGAGGAGTTAAGAGTGGTTTTTGTTTTTGTTTGTTTTTGCTTTTTTTGCTTTTTTGTTTTGCATTTCAGAACCTTTAAACAATACTTACAAATCCTAATTTATGAGCAAGGGTGGGGTCAGTATCCATTTAGCTGGAAACATTTGCAGCAATAATCTCTTTCTTTGGCAGCTGCCTTTAGCCTTAGGTGTTTGACTCTCAGCCAGTTTCCAGGGCCTTTTCCTACTAAATCCATGTGGATGCACAGATTCCCATTGCAAATGAATACGTTCTTTCTAAGACCCACCAAGAAATAATATTGCCCCAAGAGGATGTTGTCCTCTTGCATAACCCAGCTGCAGCATCCTTCCACCACTATAGTGTGAACTATAGCCTGATGCCTCAGAGCTATCATCAGGGTTTAAAATGCTGCCAAGCATGCTGAATGTTATTGCAAACAGCCCTTATTATTATAATCTGGAACCTAATAACAGACACATGTGTTGGGACATAGTTTTTCATGGACAGCCTGCCCTTTTAAAGATGGGCGGTACAAGTTCTTTTTAACATATTTTGGCAGTTGGTCAGCAGGAGAATTGTTTGCTTGTAATTTTTGACAGCAGACACATTATTGTGGGAATCTGGAAAGCTGAAAGCTCTTCTTTTGCATTTAGGATCATTTACTGTTTTTATCAGGTTTATAGTTGGCTCTACATGAGTGATTTTTTGGAATACTGTCCACCTTATTCTAAAATAAGGATTGCTGTGCAATGTTTAGTTGAGATGAGACTTACTCTAAAATTTGTTGCAGTTTTGCAATCACCATTTGAACGTTCTGTAATACCTTATTATTAAGCTGTGAAGAACCACTTCACTACATACTTATTGAAAAACAAGCTATACAAGTTTTATTTCGTAGTTGAGATTTGAAAATATATTTGCTACATTTCTAGATCACCATGAAAAATAGCCTAAGATATAGTTTCCTAAAAAATACAGGCAAATCTACTCTTTTTAAATTGATTATAATCTCTCTCTCTATTCTTTTCTTTGTTGCCCTTTGCTGACCTACCTGTTCCAGATTAGGGGTTAAAATAACTATTCTGACTATAAAAGGAATAATGTTTTAGATATGAATTCATGGAGTGTGGTTGCTAATTTTGGCAGACT